GTTTTTTTCTTATTCTATTGGCAACCAATTCAGTGTATGTGTCATGATTAATTACATCCCAACAATGTCTTTTGGATAGTTGTTAAATGTAGTATACCTCTTATGTTGGAAAAATGGATTGAAAAGAGTTACAAAATATTCTACTTTCAGCTTTGTGAACTTGTTTTGAAAAGAAATAGAGAATTTTCTCATAAAGTCTGATATCATCACAACCAAGAAGTAGGCAAAAACTTACATTTTGAGCTAAAATCTCTATTCCAGTTATTTCCTATAGTGGTTATATTTATATGTTCCACAAAAATGTATTTCCCTTTATCTCCAAAAATGTCTAAATCTTCGTCCCCAATCATCATCACGAAGAATAGATTGTCAACAAAATATTAACGCCTTTATATTTCACTTTATTTAAAACTAAATTTAAAAAAATAAAATAAAATCAATTTTGTTGGCGAGAATGACCAGGGGTTAGTGCCTAGTGTGACCATATGGACCTAATGACATTTTGATGCTTAAGTCCTTAAAATCATATTACAATAATTCATATAAAACAATGTTATTTATATTAAAAGCTACTGAAATCATTATTTATTGTCTGAAAAAATCCACCGGTATCTATATTTCCGGCCTCCACAATTTTCTCAGCTCTCTAATGCAACAATCAAAGAGTTGACTAGCAGTAACACACATTGTTCTACAAATGAAACTTTTCATTCAAATGGGGTAACAGTATTAGCAATTGGTAAATTTCTTTTTCGGTTCAATAATAAAATGAAATAATTGTGTGTATATGGATACTTTGGGCACTAAAGGATTCTTGATTTAATATTGCATATTTTAAAATTTTTTAAAAAATTGATATTGATTTTTAGAAAATCTTGTTCAAAATTAAGATTGTCTCTACATCACTCAGAATTGTATGGAAATTACTCATATTTTCAAAATCTCAAATCTGACATTAATTATGAAGAACCGGTTTCATTAAGAAAAAAATCTCTTCAATAATGTAGATTTAAAAAGGGGGTTCACGTTATATTCTTTCAAAGTTCAAAGGTCTTGAAAAATTGAATTTTTTTGCAAATACTCTGCTCTACTTACACAAAAATTTATAAAAAATGTGAAGGCATTTTGTGGAAAATTGTGAAAATCTAGGGGTATCTTGGAAAATAAGATTCACTTAAAATTCAAAGGGTCATCAGCCAGATCAAATGGGAATATCCATTTTGGTGAAAATCCTCTTTTCAGTTTAGGTGGTAGTATACAGTGAGCTAGCTCACATAACTGAGAATATTATTACAGATTATTCAAATCTGAGTATGAAACAATCTAAAGTACAAATTAATTATCTGATCTTCTCATCAGAAGGTTGCGACAATTTTTATTACCTATAAATGTTCTAAAAATAAGATGGGAAGGAAGGGAGAAATTTATAAGACTAAATGTATTGATCTATACAGGGAGATATTTATAGACTAGATACACAGAATTACCACAAAAATGACCTTTTTAACTTGAATGTAATTCTGTTTTCACTTCGATGTATACATTTGTATGGCCTCACTTAACTATTCCAACCACATACCACTTTACCATACCAACACTTTAACATATAATGAATGGAAAACTTGAAAACATATTTCTGTATTGTAATAAAAATAATGATGTATACTCCTGTACTTTTCGATCTTTTATTCCAATCCTCCTTTTATATTGTACTTTTGACAAACAGACAAAGCCCTAACTCTTTCATTACTAGGGTATTATAATTTAAGAAAATTATAAATTTGTAAAGTTAACATTTATCAAAAATAGAAAATAAGATAAAAAAGAAAAAATAATTGTGTGAATATGATGAAATAATGATGTAAAATTTGAATTGATTTAAAAATTTGAAGAAATTGAATTGAAATAATTTTTCTTGCTTTGCCAGCATTTAGCTTCAAACACAATTGTGGGCATCTTTGTTGACCACATCCTTTCAACATTTCTTTTTGGGTACTGTTTTTCTGCATTATATTTTAAATATCATATTTTCTTCAGAATTCGATCATTTTTGCTTTTTGTGCACCAACTCAAATTAGTAAATCTTAGAAAGTTTATGGTTTCACAAAACTGAATTGACAGTACAACTTACCGCACACAGTATTATTTTGTCATGGTGTGATCTATTCTAATGGTCCTTAGAACAGAGGCAGATCAGAAAAGACCCATTGAATGTGTGTAATGATAAAGACAACTGTTTCCATTGAGTTTAATTCCATGTTGATGCATATTATTTATTATAGAATAATAAATTATTTATAAGCATTTTAAAAATAATTTTTCACAGAATAAAAAACACATGTGGCATAAAACATCTATGGAAAAAAGATTTCAATTTACAATTTGCTGATGACATAATTCTTATAACAATATCAGCCAGGAAATTACTACAAATGCTAGGTGACCTCGAAAGTAGAAAAGAAATAGAACTGATAATAAATACTCAAAAGACAAAAATAAGGACTAACTGTCTGACAATGCTAATAATAGCTGATGGTGAAAACATACAATATGTAAATAAGTGCATATAATTGGGCCAAATCATTTCCTTTAAGAATCTCTCCCAAACCACAATAGAAAACACATTACTGAACTAAAAATAGAGTCATTATGAACACCTGTGTCCTACTAGTACTATTAGATGGTTCACAGACATAGTCACTAATGGTAAGGGAGGAAAATATAACAAAAATATGTCCAAAGAAGATGGAAAGGAAAATAATAGGTATAGTTCTAAAAAGCGGAAATGGGCAGGACATGTAATGAGGATGAACGCAAACAGATGGACCTGCAAAAATTACAATATGGGATCCAAGGACTAGCATAGGAAGGAAAGGAAGAGAATTAGAAGACAGAAAACACAGTGGTCAGATGACATAGTAAGTAGATGGGAAGACTATGGATCAGAACAACAGAAGACCACACAAAATGGAGAGAAGTCAGTCATACACACTTGACGAAATCAATAGAGAAAAAAGATAACACAAATTCACAGGAACAGACACAAAAATAAAGAGCACAACAAAATGTGACTTGTAAGTGAAATGATAATTAGACATGAACAAAATGAAGGGACCACTGAGAAGGGAACAGAAAATAAGGCTAAAAATAGTAACTAACGAGCCATCTTGCTTATTTAGAATAACTTACAGTGTAAGAGTCCTTTGCCCTATTAAGAGCTATGAACAGGATAAGGATGATCATAATAATAAATGACAATAAAACCTTGAAAATTTTCTTTCTCCGTTTCCTCTCTCATTGTTTTTGTTTTGGGGCAAATATAAAAGATGTACAGATGTAGTCAGGGTACAAATTAGATGTGTGTGTTGGGGGGGCTGGAATCGTCCCTTGGAGACTTTGATATCCCCTGTGGGAAAAGTAATAAGTTGTCCCAGCTAGGGACACAATTAATCTTTATCTAGGTATTGCTCAAATCAAGGAAATTGGAATAGAAAACTTTCCTAAGAATATATTTATATTTTATGTTTTCCATGTAAAAATGTTCAAATCAAGGAATTTGAGAAAGAAAATTTGCCCTAGAGCATTGTTATAATTTATTCACACAGTTGTTTGTAAGCAAAGATGACCCCCCAGAGAAAATTGTGCCTGAACAGCAACCTCTCCTATCTTGCTGGTGCTCTTAATTGAGCAAAAGTCTTTTGTTAGGGTTTTCCTACGTGGTTTGCAAACCTTTCTTTTAGAGAATAGATGAATGACTGAGGAGAGTAAAACTTAAAGCATTGTTGGGTGGATGAATGGTTGTTATTACAGCCAGAAATTTTGGCAAAATACCTTTAATTATTATGTTTTTAAAACTTGTAACAATAGAAATTGGTTAACTATTTTTCAGGAGTTTTGAAAATATTTTCATTTTGCCTATCCTATTGATAGACCTATTGATTTATATTTTGCTTTCTAACAGTACAACTTACCGCATACAGTATCCTTTCCTTCCATATATAAACGCTCGTAGAAAAAAAATTGAATCATTTTAATGTTTATTAATTGTTTTAAATAATTAAATGTTTAAAAAATTAAGTCCTTTCAAATTGTGAATTTTTGTTACTCTTTTGCCGTTTTGCATCCACATTTGAGCCAGAATAAATGCCTGAATTTCCGAGCTCTAGTTATTATTTATCATGACTTCCTGAGTTTTCATTTACACTAGAGATGAATGGTGATTTGCTTGTTGTAAAAGCAATTGAGAAGTAAGTCTATTAGAGAGCCCAGAGGAAATCTCTTTTGTTATCTTGCTGTATCCACCATGAATTCAACATGCAGTAATGGATTTGAACTAAACTACGGGTGGCACAGCACATGATACTAGACTTGTTATAGTGAACCATGGTGGCAAATGTGGATAACAATTAATTAGCTTGGGAGCATGCGAGACATGAAGTGCAGTGAATTTGTTTTTGCAATGTAAGCAAACTAATTTATTGCCTGGAAAAGGAAAAGCCAAGAGTGGATGTAGGTAGAGCAGGAGAAAGTGTGTTGCAACTGTCTACTGTTCCTGTTAACTTTTGTTTCCAATGGTTCTGTTCTATCGTGTCATTCACAAGGTATATTTGTTTTGTAGTGTAATACTTTTGAGAATAGGTATTCCCGAATCATGGATGTTTCCTTAACTTAAAAAATATATTTTATTTTAACCATGAAACTATCTTTTATAACCATTGGATTTTGTTTTATAGATGGTTCAATGTTCCTATCAAAAGATTTAAAATACAATAAAGTGAACTTTTTCAAAAGCCTATTCTTACATTTATGTGTTTACATAAAATGCTCTATTTTTTATTATTTTCTGATATAATACAGAGAGAGTGTGAAGTAAAATTATATCTTAGATTTTCGTTTACCTCCAAAAATGTTATTTGTTCAGATTTGATGTGTATTTTTATTTTCTTAAAGATTTTTAAATCATTCCTTTCATTCATTTATACTAATTGTATTTGTTGCAGTTGCTATAGAATTAATTGTGCAGCATATCCGAGATTTTCTCAACAATCGAGTACGCAAAGAAGAAGTGTTACCTCCATCTCCAGTGCATGCATCTTGGCGAACTAATCCTCCAGATGGCCACTTTACTCGTCCACATTAGTTAACACTTTCAATTAGTAACACCATGTTGTCTAGGAAGAAGAAAATTACATAGTTTACTTAAGTGCTTGTAGAATTTTGTAATTCTTATATAGATTTGTTTGTTATTATTTCTTGTTATGTGTTTTATGTAGACCAAGCAATAGCTTTGCTCTGAGGTAACCTGTTACAGCAATAAATATGCTCCCAAATATTTTAACACGTGTGGTATAGCAAGAATTGTTCCTGTAGATGTTGATGCTAGGACATAAACTCTACTACAAGTTGTGTAAGTTACTTTTAATGATATCTTCTTTAGGTAATGAAAATTTTGTTCCTATTCTGAATTAAGTTCCTATATTACCCTTATAAAGATAATGTAATTATTGTTTTCAGTTTTGTATTCAATGTCATTTTATCCCCAAGAGCGATTTGCAGATTGTACATAAAATAAACAGTATTTGGCTCGAATTACATTAATGTAGTAATAGAATATTATTGCAAAAATTGGTTAAATTTATGTATATGTACAACAATGTTTGCTCATATTTTGTGAAGTCTTAAGAGACAATGTAACTTACTACTAGCTTCAAAACATGGCATATTTTTACCTTTTTCAATAATATTAAGGAACTGAGCTGTTGATGTGTGTAAATAGAGTATGAGAGATACACTGTACAAATTTTTATCAGTTGATAAATTACATGGTATTTTATTGTTAAATTTATTCTTGTATGAATTTAAGATTTTAACTTTTTTATTAGTGAATACAATTCTTTTTTAACAAAATCAAATAAATTTTATTATGTTAATATTACAATGTTCTATATTTGCTGTACTACTTCTTAAGTTAAATACTTGGGTTGGCTAAGATTTTGATGAAAGCAAGTACAGCAAATAAATTATCAATGCAATTGATCTTGTTTCTGCATGCTCTATGAAGGTGCTTTATAATACTCACTACTAAAAAGGTGAAAAATGAATAAGAAAATGTGATGAAACATTATATTATTTTTTCTAACATGAGTCAGACATAAAATCTTAAATTTCTTTGCACATTCAAAACAATTGGAAGAAGTCATCTGGAGCAGCATATTGATATGCATCAAAAGAGATTGAAGGTAAATTAAGAAAAGTAGATATTGAATAAGACAAATTATTTTTGAATAAGTAATACATTCAATAGCAAGTACTAAATTACTTCCATTCATTTAGGATTTTTTTAAAAAAATTGTTTACATCGGAGGAAAATATTGTTGATCTTTTCTGAAAAAGTGCTAGCTTTTGAGTGTTTCATGGATTCATTAATACATTTGATATCCACTTTTAATGTTAAAAGCATAATTGTTTTAAATTTTTTCACAGTTTTCAAGCTGTAATACTAACAATAGAAAACAAAAGAAATAGAAGAATTTTAAAGAGTTGCAAATAACTCATTTCAGCTTTTGTTGAAAAAACTATCTTCCTCTTATAGAGAAGAATCTGGATTTATAGCACTAGAAAAGTTCAATATAAAATACCATATTATGTACATCACTGTGATGTTGTAAATTATTGAATTAAAAGGTAATATCAACTTTTCTATAAAGTGGTATTACCAATAGAAATTTCTGTGGCTAGAACAGGAAAGAGAGAGAGAGAGAGATGAAGAATGATGTTAAGTGTTGAAGAAGAGAAAGAAATGTTTTTAAATGTTGAATTTTTCTATAGAAATTTACCAAGTTGATTTTGTTCCAAAATGCCATTGCCATTTACATTTTCCCCTTTATATAAGAGAAGGCATGAGATGGAAGCCATATATTTTTATTTTTTATCTAAGAAATTGGATGTGAGAGAAGGGAGGGAAATGTTGGTACTAAAATCATCCAGAAGGCCTTGAGAAGCTGGGTGCATTATGTCAAATTTGCTATTTTCACTGAACAGGATCATATCATATTGTTTCTTTTTCTTCGCAACTTATGAATTGCAGTACACATTTGCAGAACACTTTGAACTGACATTTTTGTAGATCTGTTTATTTAAAACTGTGAATTAATATATTATAACTATTATTGCAACGAAAATAGAGTAGTTTTCTTTTTTAAAAAGCCACTATTTTCTAGTCAAGATAAATGAATGGCATCTTTCCACCAGTTATATTTTGCACATTGGTGTTTGTCATTTAGCACTTACAAAATATTACAATTAAAAATTTCTTATCTCCATTTATGATTGTTAGGTAGTGTTTCTATGAATTTTTGTTGTGAACCATTAAAATTATTTTTTCATGTAATTGCATTAATTCAGGTCGTGATCCCCTTATTTAACAAAATAGTCTTTTGTCTCGAATTTTGTGGAACTTATTTAATTTCAATGGTATGTGCATGTGAAACACAAACTATCAACATATGTTGCATTGTATACAGATACTCATTGGGACCAAATTGTGCTAAGCCTATTCAGTTTGTATCTGAATCTTGGCAAAATGTTGTGTGGCTTGTTGATTTCACCTTCACATAAAATACTGCACAAATTAGTACTTCTCTTTTTGGTCTTTGTCAAATATTGAAAATAGCAAGAGTATTTATTGATACTGAGAAGTCATTTATATTAGGAATTAAACATTATTTGTTGTATGAGTGATTATTTTATATTGCATAATAATACTGTAATAACTTGCCAGACCAAAGTTGATATTTTAAATGAAGTTACCAAATCTTTAATTTCTTTGTATAATGTTTCAGGCCATATAATTTTATGTAAAATAATTTTCTACACTTGTAAGCTTGAATAGAACTACAAAGTTTTTTTAATTTGCAGGTATAGCAAAGTTTATAATGCATTCAGTGCATGCCTAATTCATATTTATGTAAATAAAATTATATAAGCTGAAGTTCTCACTGATTTTTAAACCCTTATTAATGTTATCCCTACATAACGAGAACATTCTACAAATTAACCTGTTGTTCAACTTTGAAAACAACTTTCTATTGTTTGTGTTGTTGGTATTTTCTTGTATAATGAGGAAATAGTGTTATCATGCAAAAGTTAGATGTCAAGATTTTGATGTAAATACTGTTACTATTATTACATTTTAAATGTTCGAATGACCTCTATAATGCATTTTTACACCACAAAATGTTTTGCTGTTCACAACTTCATGTTTGCTGAATTTGAATGAAATCTTGTAGCTTGATTAAATGCCCTACTACATTTTCATTTTGAATAATTCATTAACATTTTCATTCAATTCAAATTCAATTTGAAAAACTGACAGAACTTATTTTAATAAAGTGAGCTTAATCACATTTTAATTACAACTTTAATTGTTTGAAAATCACAATTACAAAAAAACGAATGCATTCTTAATATGGATACACAATTAAGAAAACATTTCAAGAATCAATCGGATTCAAAACATGAACTAGAATATGAAATTAAGATGTAATAAACTCTACATTGTGGGTCAGTAGCATAAGTTCATTGGGACTGGCAGGACCATATGCAGGGGCCCCATGCTAGTCCCCAAATTAAAAACTAAATAAATTTTTTATCTAATACTGTGTCTGATAAAATCATACAAGAAATAAATGGAAGGCTTTTTTTTACTGCCCAGCCCTTCATAAGAAGATAATGTTAAGTAATCTTATACCGTCTAATTTTCGGCAGCAAAAAACTTATTGCCGTACTCTGGTAACGAAAAAGTGGATACATTGTGTTGCCATATATTGCAAATTATTTCCTCTAACACGTGATGTAGCCAAAATCCATATTTTGAGGGTCTTTGAAATGGAAAATCGATTACGGCAAAACGTGTGTGGTCAACGCAAGCAGGTGCGTCAAGCTGGAATGTTACGTCGGCAACATACAGTCATGACAGTAAGCCCTGCCAGCACACCGGAATGAAAAATCAAATTATTTATTGCAAATTAATTGCCACATATTTTCGGGTAAAACAGGTATGAGCTGGGTATCAGCACACTCATAAGTTAAACTCAGGTCGTAGCTTGACGGAAACCCTCAGATAGTTTGTTGTTAATTAATTGCCACAGTTTGGAATTAATTAGCACGTATTTTCGTAACAAAAAATGGGTATGACCGGGCTTTCAACACACAAGTTAAATTTGGGTCGTTGGTCGACGGAAATTCCCAAATAATTTTTGCAAATTAATTGTCAAGTAATTACCACGTATTTTCGTGGTGAAAGCTGTGTCAGTACACATAAGTTAAATTACTGTTGTACTCAATGGAAACAGATGATTTATTGCTAATTAATTGCCACACATCTTCATGGCAAAAACGGATATGAGCTGTTCTGGATCGTAAATACGTTATAACTTACGTGCGTTAAACCAATACATCCGTTTCACCATACAAATACATAGCAAGTAATTTCAATTTGTGGCAAATAATTAGTAATAAATCATTTGTGGATTTCTGTGGACCTACAGCTCCAATTTAAAATGTGTGTGCTGGCTTGACGCATCAAGCCAGCTCACACGCTTTTCGCCACGAAAATACGTGGCAATAAATTGGCAACTAGTAAGCAATAAACAATTTGAGGGTTTCGGTCGAGCTACTATCCGAATTTAATTCATCTGTGTGTTGAAACCCAGCTGAAACCCGTTTGTGCCACGAAAATATGCGGCAATTAATTGGTAATAAATAATTTGAGGGTTTCCGTCGAGCTATGTCCCGAATTTAACTTGTATGTTCTGACGGCCAGCTCACACCCTTTTTCACCCCGAAAAAACTTGGCAATTAATTCCAAATTTTGGCAATAAATCATCTGAGTGTTTCCGTCGAATCGAGTTCCAAATTTAACTTATGTGTGTGCTGGCGTCGAAAATACGTTGCAATTAATTTCAAATTGTGGCAATAATTTAGCAATTTATAAGCAGTAAATCATTTGACATGTTTCATTACGGTGTGCTGCTATGGCTGTTCCAGCTTGGTGCATCTAATGCAAACAGCTAAACGGTTCAGCAGATTTTCTCTAAGATTAATATTCTTCAATCGTTCTTAATAAACTCGAGGCTTTAGATGTTTAACAGAATATTTTGTTTTTTTTGTGGCTACCTTAACTGAAGTCTCAAAACGTTTTCAAAATTGTCTCAATAATGGCTCCTAATTTTTTGATCAAACTTTGTCCTCGGATAGTGTAAAGACATCTTCAGTGAAAGGAAGTTTACGTGCAGGTCTCATGTTCATTGAAATCTCAGAAATTAAGAAATTTGCAAATATACAATTGTTTTGGGCGTCTTCGTACAACTATAACATTGAAGATAGAGATTTTTACTTTCTCGACTAACTAACGTAAAAAGAGCGCCGGAAATCGTGCGCCGGAAAACGGCGAATTTTCGACACAAAAACTCTTATTGCCGGGCGCTGGAAGGGAAAAAGTTGCTAAATTTAAAAAAGGCCTCTAACACCCGATGAAGCCAAAATCCATTTTTGTGGGCCCTTATCCCTAAAAATCGATTGACGGCGAAAGTCTGACTGTCCGTCTGTGCACAACGCATAAACCGTTCAGCCGATTTTCTCCAAAATTGATATTCCCCCAATCGTTCTAGCTGATGACGCGGACCCTGGAATTTGAAACCGATATTTTAATTTAGGAGGAGGGGGGGGTACTTTAGTTAAAGTGCCTGGGAATTTTCAAAAAAAAAGCTCCAATTTTTTTGATTAAGTTTTGTTGTTGAAAGGACCTTTCAGAGAACGGAGGAGATTTCATTTTTGTTGACATCCCCAATTTTTCAAAAATTAAAAAAAAAATCAAAATTCACAATTGCAGATGGAGATTTTTGTCTGAGAGAAAGCCTGTTGTACCAAATTATCTCTTTAAAAAACGTGCGTGGAAAAATGTAAATTTCTTCCGGGAGACGCGTGGGCTTGCCTTGCCTAAGGCGTTGTACATTTACTATCTTCTAAAGACCTACTCGAGGGAGTGCATAAGAAAAGGTTTCCCAGCACAAATATTCATTTTTTTAAAAGATTGCGCCTCGAAATTAGGTCGCTGACGACGTCAAGGTCTGACACGTCGCAGTATCGAAGAATGGAATGGTGCTCGTCCCATTTTCGGCGAACTCTCCGTATTCTCGAAAATGGCAAAAGTTAACATTTCAAAATTGAAAATAGAGATTTTTCATTTAGACAAATTCTGTTGTGAAATATAGTTCTTTAAAATGTAATGAACATTTTTTTAAAGAAACGAATAGTTGCGTCAAACTGCACCTGCGCGAGCTCCTTGCCCCCTGGGAACTAAGGCGCTCTTGCGATTAGCCAGCTGCCCCAACTCCCCTCTCCTGTCCTACCCAAACCCAGAATTGTGTGTACAGGCGCCGTCAGTGATCTTTTAATATTGATGGCGACACGATGGCAAGGGTAAACATTATCCTCAGATCACAGACAAGTGGGTTTCCGACAGATTTTATTAGTCGCCACAATTCATTCGAAAGTTTGCGAGAGAAATGATTGCAATGTCTGAGGGCACATGCATATGCAAGTAATTTTTTCGCAAATATATCTTAAACAACTGTGCTCACAGATCATCCTCAAATCCGATATTACTTTCTAAAAGATCCTTTTTCGGCCTTCATAAATTATAACTAACTTTATTTTTATTTTCAGTTTTAATAATTATTTTCAATTACGCACTAATTAAGGTTAGTGATAGTACTTTTATTAAATTTCATTAACTATCTACCTATCAATAAAATGCTGGCATCTTACTTCTGTTATCTTAATATATTCAATCCCCTGGAAAATTGTCTTACAATTGAACAGGTAGCAAATAAATATTAAAAATAAACAAAAGATCAGGTAGATCAGGTATGTCATTCACATTTAGAATCTGTTACAAGAATCGTATCCAGCAAATTTGTTCAACCATATGTTGAAAGAATAATTTCTCAAAATCAACAGTTTTATGAGTAAGAATTAAAAGGCACTTTCATAGAACTGAATTGTTTTGTATTAAACAACCAAAAGTTGAATAATTTTTGTTTTATATTAGTTATTTTATTCTTTTATTTATTATTTTTACATTAATATTTTTATTATTTAATACCTACCTTGCACAATCATTTTTGCCATTGGAGAATATACAATCATTTTTGGGAGGAAAATGTTTCAATTGCAAATTCTTTTATTTCCATTTGTGTTAAGTTTTATTAAAGAATTGTGATATAACGAAACAACTCTTTGTTGTTTCTTTCCTGTAGTATAACCTCCATATATTCCACATCACTCTTACTGGTGAACAATAACATTTGTTCTTAAACTGAATGTAGAAACTATTGCTTAGGAATTATTGTTACAGCAATTATTGCACTTTTTAAATAAACATGATTTTGAATGAAATTTTAATTTCATTCTTAATTGAAACATTCAAATGTTAATGGTTTTATTACTGTATTGAAAATGGTATTTCTAATCAGACAATTTTGGGCAATAACTCAATAGGCTTGTCCAGACGAATTGCATGGGCCAGGTATCGAGTGAGGTACCACTCTCTGGACAATTTGTACAACCTATACTTCTAACTACTATATAAAATTCGCGGCAGTTGTTCTTGTTGGTCAGTCCACACATGGTACAAGAAGCTCGTAACCTTCCCCGCGACCTTGACATGCCTACTTGAAATTAATGTAATTGATAAACTAGTGGAGCTACAGAATGGCACAGACTATCTCGTTTTAGTTTTCTATTTTCTTCGGTCTGGGCTATTCTGACTTGCCCCATCCTCTTGCCAGCTGCCATCAATTGCAGCCAAAGGTATATTTTTTGAACAAATTTCGCAATTTTTCATTTTTTTGATAGAACTGAATTATTACTATAAGAATATTAAAGAAGAATAAAACATCATCCTAAACAGCAATTTTTATCGAAAAAATTGGGGCAGGTTGTAATAAAATGGTGCTTAAGCATTACTATAAATGCAAAATTTGAAGCTCTTTTCACAGAAAACTATTGAGTTTTCGGGAAACTTCTATTGAAGTCATTTCAAGAACATCCTGTCACAAATACAATAGTGCAGGATTCTGTGGAAATGTGCATATTAAAAACTTAAGAGATATTAAAAAAAAAAAATCCTTGGTGGCAGCAGATATCTTGTGGTAATCCATAAAATGGGAAAGGAAGTAATCACCCACAAAAGGTCTAATAATTTTTATTAATTATTATATTAAGTTAACTCTGCACAAAAATTAATAAAAATTATTAAACCTTTTTTGGACGATTATTTCATTTACCATAGAAATACATTAGTATATTTTTTGAAAAAACAACAAATACAGTAAAGTGAACTTTATGTCATTATAAATGGTGCTATTAGCACTATCCATTGGAAGTTTAAAGATAAAATGTGGAGCCGTTTTTGATTTTGGAATTCTTTAAAATTGCAAATATTACATGCATATTTTGCGAAAACAATCAAAAGTTTATAAAAATGTACATGACTTTAATGAAAAAACTAATTAAGGACAACAAATTTCATTTGAAGGAATTATCTTTCTCTTCAAAGACAAAAATTGGAGTTGCTTTTAAGAAAAATTTGAAAATGTCCCAGGGTCTTCATGGAAAGTACCCTCAAATTTAAACAATGTTTTCTCTAAATCTCAAAGCTTTGACTGGAGCCAGATGGGTTTCTTCAATTTTCTCCAATTTCATAATAGCAAATGACCATCTTTTCCCACTTTATTCCACATACTTACTTTGCGCAAGTGGACACATTGCGTCTGTCCTATGTGACTCGCATCAGGCTATTCTTTCTGCGCAATACAGTAATAATACACATTGAGTAATAAGTAAAAAAATTGCTAAAGGACAAGTTGAATAAATATTAGCATTTTCAATAGGAAATTATAAAGAAAATTAAATTAATTATTTTTCATATAGTTCATTCAATTTTTCTAGTAGCCCATAGTTTGTGTGAAACGTATTTCATTAATGTCAAGAAGAAATTACAAAAATATTATTGAAAACTATTAGTTTTTTCAAAACATTGTACATTACTTTTTTTAAAGAGGTTATATTGTACAACAGACTTGGTCTAAGGCAAAACTATCTGATCTTCAATTTTAAAGTATTGAAATGTTTTGGGCAATTTTCAAAAACTCCTGGCAATACCCCAATATTAGACTGGCACCATATTTCTTACTGTTCCTTGTTCTGGATGAAAATTTAAAGAAAAGATTTGGAGCGGTTTTTGAGATTTTTTCCCCATAAATTTCAATTGTTATTTACGAAAAAACTACTGGTTTTTGCAAAACATTGTACATGACCCTTTTTATAAACGAATTTTGAACAACAAATGCAAAAATCTCTATCTTCAATTTTGTAGTTTAAAAATGTTTCTTGAAGTTTTCAGAAAACCAAACAACTTCCGAAAAGGAGACTAGTACCATCTTTTTTATCATTCCTTATTGCACAAGTGAAAATAATTTAAGAAAAAAAATTGAAACGGTTTTTGAGAATTTTTTTGTAAATTTCTTTTTTCAAAAAACTGTACACAACCTTTTTTAAAGTGCTAATTTTACACAACAGACTTCGTCTGAGACAAAAATCTCTATCTTCAATTTTGTAGTTTTCAAACTAAAAACATGAGCAATTCCAGAAAATAAGATTAGCATCATACTTCAATTTTGGAACCATTGTTTTGAAAATGTCCCAGTGGCGTCACATAAATTGCCCCCTAAAACATTGGTATCAAATCCAAGCTAGAATCAGGAGGAATATAAGTTTTGGAGAATATCGACTGAATGGTTTAGGTGCCAGCGATGAGCACAGACACATAGACTTTTGCCATCAGTAGATTTTACTTTCTCGCATTTATGATCATAAGAAGAAAAATTATTGTAATTGTGCGCCAGAAAAGAAAGCAAGTTTTTCAAGTTTCAAATTTCTCGATCTCCTCCAGCTCTGCACTTTAAAAGCACACTTTACGACAAAGTTTATAAAGATAAAATAAATCCCAAAAGAATTAACGAAGCAAAATTCTCTCACACTGTTACATCCGCAAAATTGACTCTCATAACACAAATAACGTGCATGGTCTCACATACTACTGGCACATCGGTTTTGGAAAAGTAGTTAATAAACAAATCCGAAAGATGGATCAAGTTAGGTCATTGAGTTCCTCAAAAGGGAGGAAGAAAGAGCATGAATGTTTCATGAGAGGGAACAATAAGCAATGCAATATTGCCAGTGGTCTCTCAGCCCGCACTGCATTAGTTAACGGTTAAACAGAGTTCATGTCTTGAATATCTACAATTTTACTTGCATAAATTGATACAAAACTTATTTATGCTCATTGTTTGGTGAATAATGAAGAGATCCAATTGGAAGCTTCCATTTATAATGACCGAAAGTCTTATTTGCTTTTTAAAGACAATTAATGGTTTGGAAATGCCCTCCTTTTCAATGAAATGTCCTCCATTGGGAAAAAATTTCTGGTAACTCTGGTATGAGGAACACAAAAATCAGGGATTCTAATAACACAGTGTTAGAAGAAGAAATTTACTATGTACAGAAACAAGATCCACTAATTTCTTACTCCATCTATCCACTTTTTCGTTACCAGAGCCCAATAACTCAAATGAACATGTGCATTTTTTTTCAGTCAAAATGAAAACTCATTGTTTTTTAATTTTTCCAGTTCCTAGGTATCGAATGAAACCATAGATACCTCTCATCTGGCTGAGGGCTATAAAGATTTCTTTCACTTTCTGTACACATAGGAAATAAGTAATATACATTAACTACATTTGTTTGTACTTTTAAAAGATCCGCAAACATATTTCTAGGAAGCAAGTTACACTACTCTACATAATACTGTACTTACCATTTGGGGATTTCTTTTACAACGTAAGAAAAACAGAATTTTTTTTAATGAAAGAGCATTATATTTTTGTTCATATATTACATACATTTCTTTGAAACTATAAATATACATAAAAATTAAGAGCAATCTTTCAAATAATCAAAGAAAACTAAAAAAATCTTACTGGGCATTGCCCAACATGACATCAAATTCATGTGCGATTTCCGATTTTTTAAAACTTCTGTCACACTCATCATAATTCAAAACGAAAGAGTATTTCTCACTTTTAAATGGAACATAAAAAAGACAAAAATAACAATCATAAATTAACACACCACAAAATACTCCTGGAATAAACAAGCCGTCTTTTCACATCACTGGTAATACAATTCCAGGTTCATCCCATCGTGAATTTCATCTGTACACTCCATTAAGGATCTTATTCTTAGATTGTGAATTGCAGAACTATTCAAATAACCTGTCCCAGCAGATTATTCAACACAGTTTTTCTGTTATGCAAGTTCACGTGAAATCAATTTTATCTGAATTCTGCCTCGCATTCTGTTAACATTTAAAGATTAACTATCTTAAACTTCCAAATACAATATCTGAAAATTATTGATTCTGATGTTTTAGTTTCCTCTGAAGTGATTCTGAGTTCACAATACTGTTCACTCACAGAGAAACTTGTTTAACACTAGGAAGATGACAATGTTATTCTACCTGCAGTGGCGAAGCATTCAAAACGACTGCTTCAAGTAATTAGATATTTGTAGAAAATGTTGGATATTGACACATATTTTTTGAAGTAAATCATATACGTGTGTGTGTGTACTGTAATTTGTTTAATTTTTAAACTAACTTGCAGTGTAAATCTCATTGGAAATCGAACAAAAACTTCCATGTGCTTTTGTTGTGCTATTGCTACATAATATCCTTCATAGCATGGCTTTTAACAATTCAAGGCATAACAGTTAGTTTTCAATTTATCAGATAATTTACAATATTTCAATTTACTATTTTAAACGTTTTCCACGAGTTAGTTTATTTTGAGCACATATTATTTTTACTATTACACATGTTTAAATTCCTATACTTACATTTAATAAAGATAAATGCAGAATTGCATTGTAAATCACACTAACACATAGAAATCCAAATAAATAAAGGATACAGTCTTGAAGCTTAATATGATCCTTGAAAATTGTGTACCATTTCTTCAATACAATTTTGTCACATCGTGTACCAGTTTGAGCTGCAATCAATTTCTTCAAATCTCCAATTGTATCATCAGGATTGCACTTAACTCGCACTTTCTTGCCAAGACGATCATTGCATGTAACTTCCAACATGATAACAGACTTCAGGACTGTAAGAGAATAGCTTGTTTGAGATGGAAAAAACATCTTAATCTAAATAAAATGTACAATAATCTTCAAAACATTGATTCTCACAAAAATTAAACAAGACAACTTCTGTCACAACATTTAATAATAATAATAATTAAATCATGGTCCTTTCGTTATGAAAATATAATTTTGATCATTGCCATTTGCTTAAAAGAGATATACTCAGTATTTGTATGTAAGCATTAACAATACCCTTTTACTCACTAGTATGTTGTTTGGCAAGTGAGATTTTAAATTCATTATGAGAAACATTAATGCCTAATAATTTACACAGATAAGTTTTTTTATTGAGTTTTTGTGTGATGTGAAAAGTGAGCTTTATTTAGCCCTGCTGTTGAGTCCTGCAATATTTTCATACGCCTGGGTAACTCACTGAAAAGCATTAGCTCTGAATGAAAATTTTTCTTGTTGTAATGATTTTTGCCTTTATTATGACTGTTGCAGATATGTAGGTTTTTATCGCAGTTGATGAATTCAAAGTTGCAGATGTTTATGTTTATCTTTAAAAATGTTCCCTTACACAATTATGGTGTGAATCCTAAACAAATACTTGTGATTTTGTGGAGTATGCATTGTGATGTGCCAATATATCAGAATAGTGTCGTTTGCGTACATTTCAAAGCTTTTACTTTTCATATAAACCAACTACTTATGTACACACTAAACAAAAAAAGGCATAATATTGAGGTACATCTGTCTCTTGAACTACTAGTGTTGGCTCTCTATCTTTCAGTTGCAGCCTGCTGTATTCACTGTTAACACACCTTTCTAACATTAAAACATAAAACACTGCACTTTCACCATTCCTTACCTTCGATGGCGAATCAACAATCTAGAACTTTCTTATCGCCTTACCTTACGGGAAACGCGTGACTTCTCCAGATTTCTCTGCAAGAGCCACCGCTTGGCTGTCACAACCTAGTAATCTGAAATGCCCTATAACCAAATTGCTTGCGCCACTTGTTTTCCGATATGCCCTTGCCTTCTCACGCTTCCCACCCAGTCAGCTTGCTTGCAAGTTGCGACAACTGACGACGCCAATGAATAATTGCCAACTGTAGACCAATATGAAGAATAAATTCTACGCTAAATTTAATCGTTTTCAATTTCACTGCCTCATAGAAGAAAAAAATCAAGTTTTTTAATGTGTTTTGCAACAAGAAGTATTATGTACATATCTAAGTATTATTTTCTGTAAACGTCATAATTCGAGCTTTCTGTTTACCGGAAGGTGTTCAATTGTCTTAGCTCCACATCACTCCGACACATCGCACCGACTGAAGTTCATGTAGTACAGCTGGTGGCCGCTTTTGGCTGGCTGTTGGCAACATGGCTCAAGTGAGAGATGTATTAAGCAAATGTGAAGAATTAGCCGATCAGGTGGGAATACGCAATTTACTAAGTGAACTACGACTCCGTGAAATTCTGGAATCCAGAAAAACTTTTCGTTTTTATTTCAACCTTTTATCCACTTAAGACATTCTTGTTATGATACCATCTAAGCAGAAGTCACGTCACATGCCCTACTTTAATGAGAAATATTGGTTAAAATTGGTGGATGTGTGCTTTAGTTTTTACAAGCAATGTGCTCTGTTTTAGGTACTACGCCAAGGGAAGTATGTGTTGCCTACAATTGCCAGGCTTTGCCTAATATCAACATTCCTTGAAGATGGTATCAGAATGTGGGTCCAGTGGACAGAACAACAGGAATATATGGACATGTCATGGGGTTGCGGAAAATTTTTAGCTGCGTTATTTGTTCTAATTAATTTAATAGGTCAGCTGGGAGGGTGTGTTATGGTTTTGGGTAGATTCCGTGTTTCTATTGCTTGTGGGATTCTCTTTTTTATTGTAGTTCTTCAGGTGAGTAATCCTTGCTTGTGTAGATATATTCTTTTGAATCATTCAGATTATGTAATACTGAATAATTTTGCTTGATTCTTAGACTATAGCATACAGTATATTATGGGATCTTCAGTTCCTTTTCCGCAATTTGGCCTTAATTGGTGCTCTACTGCTTGTTCTGGCAGAAAGTAGAGTGGAGGGCCGAAGCTTATTTGCCGGAGTACCATCACTTGGTAAGTGATTTTTGGAAGTAAAATATGGTAATTCTAAATTATTTATTCTTGAGGTTCAAGTTTTTGTACTCAGTGTCTATGGTATCTAAGCTTTGAAATCTTTCAGGGGATAACAAACCGAAGAATTATTTACAACTAACAGGCCGAATACTTTTGGCGTTTATGTTTGTTACATTGCTGAGATTCGAAATTAACTTTCTTCAGGTAAGATTTAAGTCTTTAAACAGATACATAGATTTTGTGTAAATGAAATTTCAAAACTTTTAATTTTCAAGGGTGATTCCTAAAATGTTGTCAGTTCATCACTGTTTCTGATATTTGTATGTTTCTCAGCTCTCATTGTATCAGAATTAGAATTTACATTGAAAAGAAATAGATGGTTGAAGACTTGATTCACTGTTATTGAGACACGAACAGGTCAATTGCAATTGAGACACGGTTCATTATGCACTTTTCTATTTTTGTTGGTGAAATTTTTGATTCCCTTTTAATTAATGTTCACACAGGAATTTGTAATTAATGGGATATATTTTTGTAATTAGGTAATTTTCTTGTTCAGTAATGTGAAGTGGGGTGGAAAAGAACTCCCCTCTCCTTTTCACATTCAATGCTTTGAATTTCATGGTTGGATTTTTTGGGTGTCCAAATAAGTCTTGTAATATTTTTCCCATTATTTCTCTTTGTTATTAATGAAATTTCCTGTCGTTTCAGGGGAAATTAATTATTTATTTTATCATAAAAAAACTGTGACATTTGGAAGAGAAGTAGTGTTTCCTCAACAACTATTTTCTCAATATATTCTGGAGAGGTTGTTTTTTTTTACGTAAAATAATTAAACAGCGAATTGTTAATAGAGATTTTCCTTTTTAATCTCTTTTAATCTTTTAGTTTTCTTGTATTTTGTACGTCACTGACATATTCTTTCTTGAATTGATGAGAGATCGCTCTTCATTCAGAGCCGTCAAAACAGTTTTCCTTCACCCCTTTCCCTGTCGTCAGCGTTTGTGTACGTTTTTCTGAAATACATACCTTGTATTGACTACCTTTTTGGTAGTCATGGTCTTTTGTAAGGGTTCAGTTTGGAGAATAACGACCATTTAAATATTTGTAAAATTTAATTTTGAATTGACTTCCTTGTTTCTTTGCTGTCTCCTTTTCAAATGTTTAAAGTAATATTCTATGATGTGAATTGAAACTACTTTAAAATTAATTTTTGTTCAATATTTTTTGGAATATTGATTTGCTTGATTAATGTTCTCTGATGTGTAATTACAGATTGTTCAAGATCTTGCAGGATCTATTCTGATGGTTCTTGTCACCATTGGCTATAAGACAAAATTAAGTGCTCTAATTTTGGTGTTGTTGTTAACTGCCCTGAATTTCTATCATAACGCTTGGTGGAATATTCCTGCCTACAAACCATTAAGAGATTTCCTCAAATATGATTTTTTCCAGGTATGTAAAATTAGTTACTTCCGTGGTGTTTTAAATTAATATGTTAAATTTTTGTTATGTCTTATGTGTAATAAAATTTTTTGGTTCATTGAGTCATTAGGATAGTTAAAACTTGAACATAAAAATGAAGTCTTCAGTATCTCAAGATAAAAATTCTCTGGCTTCTTCTTTATACCCATCCCTCCTGATTTACCTCTGCAAGTGAAATGAAAATATGAAAAGGAACTTTAATAATCACATGTGAACTTAAATTCAGCAAATCATTCTAATTCATTTTGAAACTTTGAGGTTTTGTTGAAAAAGCAATATGATACTACTGTTGGTGAAAACTGAGCTGGATATGCTGTAATAGTACAAATGATTTACCGTTCTGTTGAATCTACTTGGAATATATACGAAGAGAAGGCCATCTCCATGGGGGAAAAAACAAAACAAAATTCAATTTATGTACATCAGAAAGCCGTAATTGCTAATTTTGGCTTTTAGATTTGCTTGTTTATCACTGATTAAGTTGTCATATACTATTCTAGTCTGAGTAAACTCAATCCTATCTGTTTCTGACTGTCCTGTATCTGTGATGCTCAGGAATCAGATGCTTATTAGTATCTCATTCCTTGAGTACCTCTCTGCCCCGTCACTGCTTCAAAGTCCTTTCAGGGATGAGTTGATATTTTCCTCCCCCACAATTCAGGTGTCCAAGAAATTCCCTGTGCCCATATTATCCACAACTTTTATATTTTTGCAAACTAGGGTACTTTTGGTTATAGTTTTCTTTAAATGAAGGTGAGAAAAAGCGCAAAATTTCACAAAAGAATAACATTTAAAGTCAAATATTCTATCATCACTTTTCTCTTACCTGTAGCATCTAATCAATGAAACTTTTTTGTCAACACAGATTTTCTTTTACTAGCTATGCTCACAGTTCAAAGTTAGTTAATGACTGTTAATAAAATAATGTGTATTAAAGTGGTAAACAAAATCAGTGTTCATATGACTCTGGCCGCGGAAGCCTACGACTTCAAATTCAGTGTTTGCTTTTCTTAAAAAATGTTGGCACCTTAAAGACACATTGTCAGAGCTTAATGTAATAATAAATTTTTATTGACATGAAAACAATGACAATCATTTTGATATTAAATAGAGGGTATCACACTATGAGTTTTGAAGTAAACCAACCCAACTCGAGTAGTGTGTAAATTACAGGATCATATTTCATCATGAGGGTTCATTACAGAAGAAATAAATTTCGCTATAATTTTATTTTGGCTTTATCAGTTCTTTGAGTTTGATTTCATAATACTTGTCCAAATTTCTAGTGTCAATGATAACATATACATTTTTTTATGAAATCAATCCTTTAGAGAAGGATTCCTAACTTTTTTGTCATCTTTTAAAAGAATTGTTTGCATTATTGGCTCCCTAATAGTTTTCTCTATAATATACAGCAAACTACATATCCTTAGCACAAATAATGATACTTAAATGACTTGAAGATGATTTACACAAAGAATATCAACAAAAAAGTATTAGAATTATGTTATATTTTTTATATTATCATTTTTAAATTTACAAAAATAAACAAATTCTTAGAAGTAAAATCACAGATATTAAATTGTATGGAAATTTGACTTCCTTTCTTGTGAATGATGTTAAGTTCCAAAACAGGGTCTATGTTAGGTGGCTCAGGGCTCAATTGATGTCACTGACTGTGACCAGGAGGTTCTAGGTGTCAAGTCCTGTTGGTGGCAGGATTTGCAACACTAGCTACGTAGCTAGTCGAATTCAGTCACTGTCTGGAGGAGATTTCTAGTGGCTAGCTGCTGTTATCAGCCCAAGGCAAATACAAGAACAAATGTTCTTCTCTATCCTTGTCCTATCATCCCCCCTTACTTCCACCTGTGCTCACACAAGTCAGGAGAGGAGCCTAGAGCTTGTCCCTGCTAGGGCAGGGCCCCGCTGGTGGGAGATATTTGGTAGAAAAATCCTGCAAGCCGACATGGAGGTTGGCCCCAGATCACTGCAAGCTCCTGCGACAAAAACATGAACTACATTTACAGGACAAAACGAACTCGGTAGTTGGTGTAACTAGAAACACCAGTCAATAAAAGAAAAGAGGAGCAAATTTGAAATTTATTATCTGATGAATACGTAAGAAAAAATTATGTATCAGAAAACATAATTATCTAGTTCATTCATATTTATTGTAATTGACAACATTTTGATTACTGACAAGTCAATGCACACTGAGCTCTCAACCCCCAAATGAACCCTTGTTCATCATCTATGATCCTGAGAGGATCGAAGTTGACCTTGGGGGGAATCCCTGTTTTGGAGACTTGAAAAATTTTAAATAAAAGTAACAAATTTAAATACAAAGAAAATTGTCCAGTAAAGTAGTTCAAATGAAAATAAATTGCAGTGCAGAGTGTAATTATTGAATAATATCTAATGCTAAGTTTCAATTGTTTGAAAGACTGAAAAATCAATTTAACAGCATTTTGTTTAGTTAAAGGAAAATGACTTAATAATAATCTTTATAGTAACATGAGTTTTTTAAATGCAAGTGCCAGAATTCTGAAAGATAGTAACTAAAATTTAAATGCGGTGGTTTTTAATTTAAATAATTATTTTTTTAATGTCATTTGATAATTCTACAAAAACCAATTAAAAACTTACATTTCACTTAATATGTTGAAATCCTCTTTTCCTCAGACTTTATCTGTTATTGGAGGATTATTAATGATTGTCTACCTGGGACCTGGTGGTGTGTCCATGGATGAGCATAAGAAGAGATGGTAGGATGACTAGAAGAATTGGTCCAAAGTGAAGTTAGAAAATACATTGTTGTGGATGAAGGGGAAATAGGAGTATGCTGTTTTATGAGCACTGATAAGTGATGGATTGTTAATACAACACAAAAATGCATTATTACTTTTAAAAATAATTGTGGTTAAAGGTCTTCCTTTACAGTTGAAAGTTTGAAACTTGACTTATGGGTGGATCACTGATTATGCAGTTAGTTTGGCCAGTAGAAAAGTACAGTGTTCTCACTGATGCGTATTTTACCTGTCTGACGAGTGTTTTTAGATTTCTTATTTTTCCATGAAAACTAAGAATCCATTGTGAAAAAGTGATGTGAGTTACAACAGTTTAAAGATTTCTGTGTTTTCTTTTGTAAAACATTCAAATTGGTAATTTCAGTGTACAGTAACATTGCTTGCAGTCAGAGAGGAATCTGAATTAGCTTCAGAAAATTGCTGTGCATAACAGTTATCAAATAATTTCTGACAATTTAATTCATCATCAACATAAACAAATTTGAGGAGTGTCTTAAAATTACAGTTCAGATTTTAATTTACACAGAAGGTACTTGAAAGTAATTTTCCAATTAGATTTGTTCTTATGTATTTGATATGTGGACAATGGGGCATAAATAAAGTAAATAGGGATAATTTAATGTAGTTTGGGTTTATCTCAAGAGGGATGTGCTTTTTTGATAAATTTAATATTCAGGTTGTACTTGCTTACGATGTTGCAATTGAATATTAATCATCATGCTTACGTGTATGAACTCACTTCTATATTTAAATTTTTTGACCAAAATGTGATTTAGAGAATTTTACTTCATTGATGCTTGGTCTTGGTTGCTGCACTCGAAGCAGTGTTGTTTTTCAATTTCTGTAGTATTGGTTTTACTTTTTTTTATCAACTCTACAATTGTGGAAGGAGATGTATATTTGACTTTCATTTATTTACTTCATACATATCAGTACAGTCAACTGAAAACTTGTTCTGTATATAAAAGCAGGTAAATTCTTTTTTATCATTGTATTTGATGTAGGAATGGGAGTGTTGTTTATGCCCTTGTGTGTGTGTGTGTATGGTTATTGGGTATATGGTATCTGGTGTGTTTGACCAATTTTATATTTGTTTAAAGTCTGACTTGTTCCCTGTGGTTTAACAAGAATATGGTTTGTTGGATTCTATATTTGGACATTTCAGTGTAGCATCTTCATAACATTAGAAAAAAAACAATGCAATGTTTTTGTTGGTGATTAAGCAGGGATTAATGAAGGATTGATACTGATATTTTGTAAATCAAATAAATCTTATTTTATACTTCCTTAATTTTTATAAAAAAAATCACATAATTTTATATAAATGTGTACATTTTGGGTACTGTGTATATATAAGTACTTTCATCCTGATGACTACATTCTTCTGTATTTAAGTCAGTGTTCCGAATTTTGCAGTTTTGAAGGATATGATTGTGTGATACGAGAAAATTGGATATTTTTCAAAAGTATTGGTGATAGAATAAATTATTTTCAATCATTAAAATATTTCTTTAATTTATTTAATTGCTTTTGTAATATAGGTTAAAGTGTTGATGAAAAAAAAACAACTATGAATTATAATAGTTGATATTTAATTTCATGATTTAACCCATCAGAAAACACAAATATATTTTGACATTTTTTTAATGCGTATTTTGATAGAGTTGGTGAGTGAGGTTTGTTTCAGTTCTGCGGAAGTTCATTTTAGCTGACCTGTCCCATTTTTCTTATTGTAAGCAGAATTGAAAAATACTTGCCCATTGAATGCTTTAATTTTGAGTATACATCCTCAACATTTATAGAATTTTGAAATAAGGAAAATTATTAAAATGAAAAATGAATCATGATTAATTTTGAAAATTGAGAACTATTTCTTGATATATATCTTAGTTGCTTGATATTTGTGAATATTTTTACTGCCATGAAGATCATTGTTGAAAGGTATTCCTGCCATTTCCGGCATGGTTAAAAGTCTTTTTATGTCACTATTGATAGAAAGATCAGACATTTTCTGCAAGGAATATGAAGTACAATAATTCTTTGATATTTTCTATTCTTGAGACAAAAGAACTATTGAATTCTTTCAAAATCATCTCTTATTTATATTGTGTTCTCTGTTCCACCATAAAAACATTGTGGTGTTTCTTGAAAATGAGTAGACTTTTAGTGTAATTCAAAATTGGAGAAACCATTTTAATTGTGCATTTGAGATCATATAACAATAAAATTGTTACTTTATGACCATTCCTTGTCTACTTTACTAAGTTTACTATTGGGTAAAATGTAACGCACATAAATTGACAGGCTGTGCTGGATGTTTGCTCTCAAACATTTTATGAATGTTCAGTTTCATTTCATTAATATTAGTCTACATTCCACCTTTGTCTACCGTATGAACATTAAATGTATAATTTTACTTGCTCTGAGGTTCCACTGTGTATGGGGTAAATTAGAAATGGAAGTTGAGTGTTGTATTGTAATTTTTTCTCCATGTCATATACCAAGGTCTTTCATTTGTATGTGTGAATTGAAGACATTTGAAAATTGTTGGTACTTAGCCATTTTGCATTATATTTTTCTTTCAAACTTTGAGCAGATGAATGTGCTCAATGGCAAACTGTTACTTAGTTAGTAAGCATTCTGTATATTCACATAAATTATCTAGAACAACCGCAACTATTCCAAATTCTGTGAATAAGACATTGAACAAAGTGTTGCACAGTGATACGGTGATGGCTTCCTGATTTGGAGGACCTAGCTCAAAGTCCTGAATCTATGTCACAGTTTTTATCTAATGATTACCTTCCAGACCAGCTCTGGAGTCAGTCCACCCTCCTTTCCAAATGAGTACCAGGATCTTTCCTGGGGGTAAGACCAGGGCATTGCGCTTGCCAATCAACTTCCTCCTTGGGCCACATCGGCCTGTGTACAATTGCACTGGGGCACCATTACCTTTTACCTTTGAAATCTTCTTTTTTTTTTATTGCACAGCTTAATAAAATTTTTTGCTCATGTGCAATGGAGCTTACATATTCATTTTTTACCTGAATTTAAAACTTTACATTAAATAGTGTACATAATGGAAGTTAAGCAGTTCACAAGCTAGTTGCTGTTGCTCTGAATTACCAGTCTTAGCTCTCAGGTTCACTATTTACATTATTCGGATTCTTAAATTAAAAACTCAATTTTTAATCTAAATCTCCTTTTTCAGTTCATAGTTTACAATTCTAAATACAGCATATCTCATATTAATGAAGGAAAGTGACTGATAATTTGGCTTATGGAACCAGTCCAATATACAATGAAAGGGCTCTGGCTGGATTTTATCCATGGCATGCACCTCTGATGAAAAGCAAAGCAAAAGCGGAACATTTTTAAGTTATTTTAGTATGTGTTTTAGGTTTCATACTTTTTATAATTAATTTCAGTTAGAAATCCAGCCATTAAAATAGTTATTGTGGTAAATAAAAAGTAAGTAAAATTATTGAATTTCAATATATTAGAAAGTATGAACTCATGATGTTTTTTGTGCAATATTATTCATTATATGAATTATAAAAAGTTGAAAAATAATCAGAACGGTCGCATCATTCACAAGTGTCATAATGCTATATCTGATTCACATAATGTTACCACATGGAATAATTATTAGATTTGATTATTTTAACATGATTTCATTAACAATTTTGTCATGTTCACCGAGCATAATTGACATACAAATCACATTTGGTTCAGTAATGTTTACATAAATTAGCTGTTGCAGCACCCATAACAAAAACAAATGTCACGTTCCCTCATTGTATGATTATAGCTCTGAACACAAAGTGTAGATTCACAAAGTTAATTTTATATTATTGCTTGTATATTGAATAAGTATGTAATCTCCATATTTTCAAAAAGTTATGGTTGTATGTATGTATTGAAATGAAAATTGTAATGATGCAGAGATATTTGTTTTTATTGTTTAGTTTGTAAAAATTCATTGAACTTTTGTTATAACACTTTATTTTTCCATTATGTCTGCATTCTTTTATTAGTGTTTATAATCTGTTGATTAGTAAATTGTGATATACCCTTGAGTGAATGTTACATATTGAGTTTCATCCCTGAAGTTTCCAAAGGGCGAATGTTGTATTTTGACATTCAAGCCCTTATTGTGTTATACTTCTACAGAGTGCTTAATTTATAAAATTTTAGGTCCCACAACAGGCCCAAAATTACTTATTATTTTTAATAGAAATAGTTATACATTTATTATATAGTTTAATAATAATTGTGGAGGTATGGAACATCATTCTGTTGTGTTCTGCCAGAAATCAAACCCTGTTTTTACATATTCTACAGTCCTATCAGGTGAAATTTTTAGACTGGTAGTTGCGTGCAGTCATTAATATCCTTTAATTTTAAAAACCGGTGAAGCAGCAGTTGAATATGGCTGCTCCAAATGTCAGGTGAAGAAAGGAAACTACTAGGAGAGGCAGGTTCCTGTCCCTTCTTGGAGGGGTAAACAAAATGTCCTTGAAACAGGGTGATAAATAAAAATATCCTTCCTGAGGCTTTTAAGCCAGTTGTGGCCGAAGGAGGATTAAGGAAATGTGGCATAACCCTAGGAATACCAAGCTCTGGGAGTCTTTCCACACCAAGGTTAAAAAAGTCATTTTACTTTTTATGAAATAAAATATGAATGAAATTAATAAAAGTACATCATTGAAAATAGCCCAAACGAAGCATTTATTTAAATGTACAGGGTCTGCTTAGCTCGCAACTCGTGTATGGAAACACCACGTCTTTTTTGGCAATTTGGCTAAGCGTGACATACCTTGGGATTCCCTTTCGCCATGCCCATGTGCACTCGGAATTCAAGCTGAAAGAATGTGGCTAATTTTAGTTGGAAGGAAGACAAAGCACTTATTCTGTCATTGTTACTCATCAATGAACTGCAGCCACTTCACTGAAAAGAGTGATCACCTGTCTCTTGGCAAACGTCACTTTTGAGTATTTACTTGAAGGTCAGTTTTTTGTCATTTTTGAAAATTATATTGTATTATTTTTTTATCAATTATTTTCAATAATTAATTTACTACTAATGTTTTATTAGTATTTGTAGTAATTAAGTATTAGTATTGTTTATTATTTAGTATATATTGTTTGTATAATTATTTCATTTGCTTAATCAGAATCCATAATGATGTTACATTATTATAGTTTTATAAATAATGAAGAGCTTGGCAACAGTGTTTCAGGATATATCTTTTTGATTTCTTTCAGAGCCGTTTTTCATTAAACAATAATTTTTGGTTGGTTGCTGTAAATAAATCAATCATAACTTGACCCAACATCTTCAGTATGTTTTGTTTCCTAAGCATACAGATTTGTCTAAAGAGATATCTTGTTTCCTGCCCGTTCTGCCCCAACCCAAACACCCTGTGCGGTGCAAAAAGTTTCAGGTTACCTAAAGCTCTTGTGTTATGACCCACCTGTCGCCTCCTCCTCTGCTATGTGCCAGGCTTGGTTGTCTTGAAAGGTGCCAAAGACACGTAGTAGCCAAATTGCCGAAACCAGAATAAGTGCTCTCAGACAAAGGTTGCAAGGTAAGCTCAAGACCCTGGATTTAAAATATGAATGGTTATTCTGTTTAAAATTATAATATTGTGGGTGTTGCATTATAAGTTCTTTAAAAGCATTTTTCTCTTTTATTAAGTTGTTGATTGTTTTTTCTATCATTTTTTCTTCAACATTTTCAGTAGGCAGGTCTGCCTTAATGAGCAGCTTGCTATACAGTGGGTTGCTATCTTTTGCCGTGTACCTGGAAATCATTTTTATACAAATCCAAAATAAACAATTACTCCATTGGCATTAAGAGATCCATATTTTAGACATTATATCCATGTTATAAAAAAGATAAGTTCCTCAAATCTAAATGTGCAACTGGGCAATGTTGCTTGTGGACAAGCACCCTTCCCGTATTCCTAGGGTTAAGTATTACAATTTTTGAAGATTATTATTATCCTTTTTAACAAAACACTTGTGTACATAAGTTACACATTGTGTATTATATTTCAATTTTTTTTCTTGGGTTGTATTTTTGGTTAGAACTTGCTGACTGATTTTTTTAAGTGTTATAGCAAAGTTTTACTCTTATCTTCTTTTTGGCAGTATATTGCATGTTTTTATATTTCCACCTCTACTGCACTAGATTAAAAGGAGTTTGCAGTGTGTGACAATTTTGTTTCCTCTATATAAGTTAAAATCTAGTGGATTGTGGCTTCCAAAGTATTGATCAATAAAAACATAAATTATTCTCATCAGATAACAGGTACTGGTTAGTACTAAGTACACATTTATTTCAGTTTTTAACAATATTTTAAAAATTCATTGAAACAATAATTCCAATGTGACACTAAGGTATCTCATTGGAATTTTTCTTTATTCTCAAATAAGTTGTATACATCATCCTTTCTGGAAGTGATTGCCAAGATACAGCATACAACGTCTGATTCCTTGTTGACAAAGATGATAGTCCCGAAACGGTGGAGCAAGTGTCTCATCTAAGCGTGTTAATAAATCGCAGAATGTTTTTAGAGCATTTAGAACATCTTTCTTTGCTAACAAATTTTTTGCTGTTTTGAACAGGGAGTCGGTATCCTGGAAGGTGAAGAGTTTATATCAGAATATATTGATATATGAGAAACAATAAACCATTATTAATTTTAATATGCCATCTTACTTGCAATGCCTTCAGACCCTTCAGTATATTTGTATGTTGCTTGCATGCTGGGCACTGGACCAAGAACTCCATCGTGTTAACTGATACTTGAATAACATTTTGACATACCACACTGCCTTCTGCAAAGCATTTAAATCTCAATATAGTTGGGTCCATGTCATTAAACAATGGCCAATCTTCCTCGCAAGGCACACAGTTGCATGAAAACCAATATTGACTTTTTAAAGTACTCTGACGCTCATTTTTTGTCATCTGTGTAAATATTGGTCCATAATTTTCTGCAATCATATCTCCACTTTGAATATTCTTCACAGCCTGCACTACTACTGATGTACCCAAAAAATACCTGTGAATTAGAATGTCATATAGAACATGTGCCAGTGTCATTGATGTATATTTCATTAATCAATCTCACCTTGTAACTCCTGGATCACATGAGTGGTTAAAAAGTGCTAAAGTGGGATATAATCCTCCTCCAAGAAATATTGATTGGCCTGTTTCTAAATCTGCATCTTTATCAAGAACCAATTCAGAAATTTCATGAGCATTAAATTGTAGCAGTTGCAAATGATGTAACAGAAGACCTCCAATGAACAATTCACTTGGTGTTGGATCTTCTCCTAGGAAAATAACGGTAAGTGGGCATCATTATTGTACAACAGAATTTAATAATGTGGTAATAAAATAAATCATTTTAACACATCTTTGAATTAACAGCATTAGGCTGAACATGTGAGAATTGTTTAAGATATCCTAGAAAACTTGACCTATTTTAGGATTCAGATTAATCATTTCAAATACCAATATTGATGTACTGTATAGTTTCCCAACACAAAGGTACTGTTGACATTATTGTATAATTTATTGTATCTTTTACTTTAGACATTCATGCTGTACACTTTCGTGTACTTCTTATGCCATAGCCCTTGGAAGTTCTCATCAGTTGTAATGACAGTTTTAGTGCAATTTCTCCAAAATCAACTTAATTTATTGTATTTATCTTGCTGTTTTACAGGAAATGTGAAAATAGAATCTTAACAGGTGGTGCTACAGGTTTCCACAGATTTTCTCATAGTACTGGTTATCTAATTTCTGTGGTCTGGGCTACTTTTTCGATTTTGGCCAAAGAGTAAGAATATACTATTTACAATAAAACTTCAATGCAGATCCTCAAGGGACCAGTATTTTTTTTTCCATATTACACAGGATTCTACATTATGCAATGTAATATAGAAGAACTTTTTTGGAAGGACCAAGATTCATGTCCACCACATTAGACCGATTTCTGCATTCCACATTGAGCAAGTTTTACTGTTATAAAATATATTCTAACACCCTTTTGCCCACCTCGTCCTAGCTGCCTTCTCAAAGAACCTTCTCACCACTCAAAGAACAGTTCATATTTCTCAATTTTTCTGTCCCCTATTGGTAGAACTGACATATGACTAGTGATATGGAAGAGTAACACCTCATTCTCTACAGGAATTTTCATTGAAAAATTTTTGAGCAGTTTTTGAAAAAATATAGTTTGTGTTACTTAAAACAAAAAATTCGAATCTGTTTTTTCAACGTGGGTTTTCGACTACTTCATTGGAAATCATTTGAAGCACTTTTCCTCACAAATGCAATTATGTGTAGAAATCACTGGTAATGTAAATATTAAGTGCGTGAGACATATTTTTTTAAATAATGCACTTATGTCCATTTAGCACTATTCATTCAAAAAATGCAAAGAAAATGGCATTTGAGCTTTCCTGAAAATGTGTAATTTCAACCTCATTTTCATAAAATACTTTTGAGAACCTTGAAATCATTTGAAGAACATATGATCATAAATGCAATAAGTTTACATATCACCAGTGTTATGTATATGTGAGAGTAAAAAAATTTACATTTGTGTAACATTTGAAAAGCAGAAGAATACACCAAAATGAAGTTTGGCATCTTGTACACTCAGTGGAGGATTCACGGGGAGGGGGGGGGGAATTCACCCCCACCCCAATTTTTCCATAACTATTAATTTTTAACTTCCGACGAATCTTGCAAGTAACTAATGATGATATGACAGCACGTATTTTCACGCAAATTGTACTCAAATTTTATAGAAATTAAAAGTAGGTTTCTCAAAATTTCGAAAAGGAAGATACCGAAATGAAAAATAAATTTAAAAAAAATTGGGGGATTTAATCAACAAGAAACAACACCGTTATCTCTAAATGTTCTTCAGACTATCCATCAACATTTCATCAAAAACTATGAAGCAGCTTTTGAGAAAACTAGTGCTACAACAGCACCTACTTTCTCACCCCTTAGTAACAATTATGTAATGATATACTGCAATTTTCGAAAATCATTATTAATACCCGAAAAACATTCTAACTCCATATTTAGGGTACGAGCTGCCGCGAATTCGATGTAGAACAACTGCAGAGGGAGGTACCCGCATCCCTTCGGCTGCTCCAGAGGCGAGGGGTCATTTTATGACAAGACACCCCCTTCGTCGGCAACCGGGTCCCGCCGAGCTCTCGAGAGGGTGCCGTTCCCCACCCATGCAACCGCTCGTCAGAGACCCGACGTCCATTACACCCCACTGGGAGAGAGAGATGTACGATCCAACGGATTTCGGTGCACGCGCGGGTTCAAAATGGGTCACGCCGATTTGTTTCGCCAGCCGCGACAAAAAGCTCGCACGCGGCAGCAAACTAACATTTTTGCTTGTTAGGAAGGGTCATTAGTCGAAGCCCCGCCCCACCGTGCTCCGCGAAATTCAATCTCACGTATCGGGAGGATTTTCACTGGAGGAGAGGGGGGTACCGAGCCTTCGTGATTCGGGAGAGCAGCTCGCACACTGACTTACTCTAAGAATTTTGCAGAGGGAGGTCGAGCCCGCGGACGGACTTAAGAAATCTTGCGGAGGGAAGTCGAGTCCTCCGGGACTTACTCGAGAATTGAGCCCCTCAGATTCTCGCTTTAGATTTTTTTTAGAGGAAAGTCAGCTCTCAATAATTTGTCTCACGAGATTGTCGCGAAAGGAGACATAGTTCTCGGAATGGGAAGTGTTCTCGCTGGCCGTGAACTGCGTTTGCCAAGTATCGACCACGCGGTCACGTGCCACAGGCCGACGTATCCTGTCTTCGATAGTCGATCGTCCGCGATTGCCTGATACGGAAGACGGATGACTTCCGATCCGTCATCGCCAATGCACGTCGTAGCCGTCTGGAGGTCGGTGACGTCATCTATGGGTCCGGCCTGAGGGGGCGGTCACGCTGAAGTGCAGCCGTGGCAATCTGCAGCTGTCTGTGGACGGTCCGCTTTTGACGCCGGTCAACAACCCACCACTGGACGTGCTGTGCTGCCCGCCGACAACAACAAAGGGTAATCATTCGCTTTGCTCTCGGTGGAATGCAGATGAACGGTTATTGAGCGAAGCCGGAGAGAAGATGCCATCAGCACTAATATTCATGGCGGCCTATTAATTGAATTAAAGTTTACATCGAGTCAAGCTAGCAAGTTAAATTTAAACAGAAAAAGGTCGCACTTGCCATAATTGTAAAAATCCTGTAAATCACCCATCATTCATAATCATTTTAGATATTAAATGTTTGTCAACGTTTAATGACTATTATTGAAAAACCTCATTACCGCTCCAGAAGCCACACACGACATGGGTTAATATTCTTTACCGTTCCTTATTATATATTATGGGGTATATTTAAAGAAAAAAAATGGAGTGCGGTTTTTCAGCTTTTTTGTTGTTGTAAATTTCAATCGAAAAACACACCAAAACTGGTTTTTCAAAGACTTTGAGGCAAAAATCTCTATCTAAAATTTAGAAGTTGTAAATATATTTTCCAATTTTCGAAAAATCGGGGATGTCAACGACTATGAAACCAGCAACATTCTCTAAAACGTATTTTACCGTACGTACTCATCAACAAAATTGAATCAAAATCATTGGAGCCATTTTTTTGGAAATTGAGAAAATGTCTGAGGAGCTTCATGTAAAGTACCCCCCAAAATTAAAATATAGATTTCAAATTCCAAGGTTAGCGACATCAGCTACAACGATTGGGGAATATTAGTTTTGGAGAAAACCAGCTGAACGGTTTATGGGCTAACGTGCACAGGCGGAAATACGTGGTGTCGTCAATCAATTTTTCGGGATGAAGGACCCACAAAATATGGATTCTTGCTTACACCACGTGTTAGAGGAATTTTTTTTTTCTATATTTAGCAACTGGATTTATCCCCTTTTTCGATACTAGGGCCCGGCAATAATTATTTTTTGCAAAAAATACGCAATTTTTCAATACGGGAAAATGACCTTAATTCAAAAGTTATCTTTAAGGAACATATTCCATTAAGATAAAACATCTCTATCTCTAATATTTTAGTTATAGGAAGACTCCGAAAAAATTGTGAACTTTTGCAATTTCCAAAAGTTGGGCTTTTTAACGAACATGAGACCTGCTCCATATCCAAAATCTCACCAAAAATATTAAAAATGGAGCCAATATTTGAAAAATACCTCATATCACAGCATGAGCTGAGTTAAGCCTGCGACATTCTACATAATCTGTAATATGAGACATTCAACCAAAGCATTTTGAATGAAAAATTATCTTTATTTATAGATCACGCTACACTCACAGTTGGGTATTTATGTAGTATATCTGGAATGGGGAAATATAGTAAGGAAGGGACGGATTTTAAAGACCTAAAACATCGACAAATTGATCAATAAAATACTTTTAAAATGCCCTAAAGCCAAAGAAGAATGACGTAAATTTTACGTAAACAATTACTTATGTAATCTCCATGGCGGATGGATCGAGGGGGCATGCCCTTTAAAGGCCTTGAGAAAAAAAGTAAAAGGTAAAAGTTCTGGAAATATAAAAATGAGCAACACAAGAAAAATTATAGAAACGTCTTAAATTTATTGAAAAAATAACCGCACGTCCTCTCCTTAACCTTTTAGTTAGGGATGGGAATTCTGATTCTCGCTGTATTTTAGCTCAGTGGTGCGTATGGCAAACATCTTTGACTGTTCTCCAGAGGCTTGTGACAGCTCGTACCTCTTTCTTACTTTGACTATGGGCTTGACAAGCTGGCCATAGGCTCGAGGGTGACTTCCACGTATTGGAATGTGTCCGACGCACCCGGAAACAGTGTTGACGGAGTAAGGTCTCAATAGATGCCAAGCGACTGATCATGGGCTGCTGTGACATTTCGCGCAATTACAGTGAGCCCGAAACAAAAGAATGGGTCATGGACCGTTTACTTAGGTCTAAAGACGGCGCGGTTAATACGTACTTAAGAAGAGAAAGAAATTATCTAAAAAGAATAAGAGGAAAAGAGAAAGAAATCTAATAACAAGAAAAAGTAGAAGAGGCTTGAAACATATTTTGTGAAATCCTGTCTAATTTCAAGTTCTGGGCAGTAATGTTTAATTTGTAAATCGATATCATGCGTTTTTATTTTAATTCTATTTATTGACATCTGTATCTTACAGAATGAAAAATATAATTACTTTAATCATTTGTCGTTTTGCAGCTTTGAATTCTGCAATTTAAATATATTATTAGTATTTATTTTAATTTTGTTAAAAGCATTTTATAATAAATAATGTACCGTCTTTGTAAGTTATATTATCCTTGTGCTTATTATAAACCACACAACCACACCACAAATCTCTCTCTCTTCTCTCTCTCTCTCTCTCTCTCTTATATATATATTTATATATATTTATATATATATATATATATATATATATATACACAAATCCTCCCCCAAAAAAGATGGATCCGCCCCTGTATACAGCACAAAGTTTACTCTTTTTAACAGTCTTTATCTCAATTTACTTAATGTGTTGTGAGACATCTCACGTTTTTTTTTCTGGAAATAAAATTCTAGGTAAAAAGACCGAAGAATTCAATTGTTACCATATGGACCTCTCGTTTTTTCAATGTTTGCTCCTCATTTAGCACAAAACCTACCAAAAATGTTGCAGCCAATTTTGAGAAATTCTTGCATTTGATATTTTTTTTAAATATTACCTATATTTTACTCAGTTTCGCGCAAACTACTAAAGTAAATGAAGTGAGCGCCTGATCGTAATGCAACCCACATAACAACAATGTTGGGCGTATCGCATTGGGAGGGAAAAAAGAAAGAAAGAAAGAAGAAGAAAAAAACTATTGTAGAGATGTGTAGAACTGATTAACAATACCTTACTTTTTGTTATATATGTTACTTTTTGTTTTTACTTTCTCATATACGTACTGAGATGTTTCGATATCTCACGTGTGCTAATTGTCATGAGCCCACGCGCCACTAACCTCTCCCACCCCATCCCCCCCACGGTAGCTGCCTGCTGAGCCAACGACTCATAAAACGATACAGGGCCACAGCGTCACCCTTTCCAAACCCCCCTCTGGGACTCCCGCTTGCAAATGCAAAGAACCCATTTGACCTTCGACAAACCGTCCGACAACCACCGAGAGAGGCTGTTTTTATTTTCATCGAGCAAGGTCGCATTTCTTTGAAAACGTCGATATCTGTGACTATTAGAAACTGTAACAAGAAGGCTACAATGTTCTCGCTTCAACGGATGCCATCCTCTCTGGAACCGGTGAATTGTTTAGAACTATTTTGAAGCTAAATATCCATGTCAACGGAATTTATTCCGTTCTGCGGACGCAAGTCAGAACGTGCATTATGTCGGACCTACCCAGCGAGGAAAACACGGACCCAGGTCTGATGCAGACGCAAGCTCGCGCCAGCCCTTCGACTTGCGACGCCGCCCCTCCGCCAGCGGCATCGCCGCGGAGCTCATTCAACGTTTGTCACTGTAGGCTGCAACACTAGTGGGCAAAGAAGGGGGTTGCGTAGTTGCAAAGAGATTAAATGTCCATGTAAAAGAATAGTGTCATTTTGAATAAAAGTGTCCCTTCCATTCTGACGGACAACACTTAAACAATCGATTGGGAGTTGCGAGCATGCGCAGCACTCCGGCCCAGAGCGACTCGCCCCTTGGGACCTCGAGAGCTGGCGCAGGAGGCAGGTTGGTAGCGCGCTGGGCGCCCGCACAAATTTAGCGCGAGCGACCTGACATCCTCCACGATGTCGAGCCCCCACGTGTCTCGACACGTTGTGGGACCTCGCTAGGTTCGGTGCGCACAAGTCGCCGGCGTTTTGCGACGGGCAGGTTCATCACAGTACGTATATACAGAGCACTACACGTAGTATAGAGGAAGTTATGTTGCGGCAGAAACCCAAAAACTCGTATTGTGGAACCCTGATACAGTAAAAGTAGATAAATCCTGCTCTAATAAGCAGTAAATTACATCTTCTAACACTTGTTATGTAGTCAGATTTCAGACATTTTGGGTACTTGATACCGAAAACGTGTTTTTTTCTCAAAACATCCGTCCGTCTGTGAACATCATTAGAGCCTAAACCATACCTAGATTTTTTCAAATTATTCCCCGGTCGATCTGGCTCGCGTCGAAGTATTGCGATTTTGAAAATCATTAATTTTTGGGGGTACTTTATATGCAGCCTCTGCAACATTTTCAAAAATGTCTCCAAATGTTTTCTTTAACCCTCAACCGGTACAGTGGGGTGTAGAGCAACCCATTCAATGTTTATATTGTTTTACTGTAACATATATTAGCAACTCTAACCACTGAACTTTACGTAAATTTGTTTAATCAGTTCATCTATCGTAGAGATTCATTTCGTTGTTCACTATTGGTTACGTTCATCGGTTCCTGTTATTTTCAAGTGGATTTGAACTGTCGCGCACTCAACTCAGTCACGTGTTTTTAATTTGAAGCACTTGCATTACGTGCATTTAAACCATTTGCAATGAGGTATAAATTCAGATAAATGTTTTGAAATATTAATGTATTGATTAATACGTAATAACGATTTCGTTTCGTTAGGGAAATGGAGTGTGCGAGAAGCACATATCGAGTAGATGTGTGGCGTGCACGGAACCTAAATAACAACTTAGTAATAGAAAGGAGTTAAAAATATCTTCTAAAATGAAAATGTACATGTTTGTGGATTAAAATATTCATTACGTTTGAAAAAAATGTTATAATCATAATGAACCTCTAAATTGAATGTAATTTTATGGGGTGTGTGAGACCTCAGTGTCTCATTGGTGTAACAAAATATATGTTAGCCGGTTGAGGGCTAAATTTCTTGTAAGAATAGAGTGAAATGTACTTATAAAAGTGGCATAAGTGCGATTTTCACTGTTAACTCTGAATTTTCGAAAATTAAAAGTTTGAATTTTGTCGGCATCTTCCTACAACTTAAGAATTGAAAATAAACATTTTTCCTTTCGCGCATTATTAAAAAAAATTAAAAAACAAACAAAATTTTCTCAAAATCGGCTCCAAATTGTTTCCTTAAACTTTTTGGTAGGGATAGTGCTAAATGCACTCCATAAGAAGACACAGGCTCCTTTTTTTTTTTTTTTTTCTTTCTTCAAAAATACAAACATTTAATTTTTGACTTTTCTCGCGTCGTTAGTATTTACTTTAGTGGCGATTTGTTCACATTATTGCATTTATGAGTAAATATGCTTTAAATTGTGTCCTATAAAGCGTAGCTGCCACCCCTCTCTGACACAGATGCGCCTCTGGCGCTCTTGGGCCTCGCTCTACGTCATGCGGAAACACACACACGCACGCGCGCGCGCGAACACCCACCCAACCCATCACACACACACACACACACACCACACCACATATATATATATATATATATATATATATATATATATATATATAATAATATATATATATAACACATACACCACAAGTTTACAAGCCTACAAATTTGAATTATATCTTCAGCATGTAACTTCAAATTTTTCAGATGGATCGTACCTGGATTTGATGTCTGGTTACCAAAATACCCACTTAGTTTCAAGCATTTAAACAAAAAATGAGCCATGTTTGCTCGGTGGAACAAATCATCAGATTTGCGATTTGCTTCATGAGTAACAAGATTGTATACATCTAAATAATCCCCACTTTGATGAACTTGAGGAACCTACGAAAATGTAATAAATATATAGTTACCACTAAAAAAAAAAAAATCATATCTGCTGAAAAGAGAAATAATTCCACGTCTTTCTCACCTGCCCAAGTTGAGGTTTTAGTGAAAGGAAATGTTCTAGAGTACTTTGTGAAATTATGCGTAATGCCATGAGGCATGTTATTGAGGCACCTGAAGACCACAGAGATTGAAGGATACTACATTCAATTTTGTGGTGTGTCGTTAAAGCAGTTTTCTGACATTTGATTCCACAAAACATAACAACACTGCAGCATGGGCAAGGTAAAGGAGTTTTCACTCTGTAACATACGGTACCATTCACAATTTATAATTATTTAAAATTTTGGAGCATTTCTGAGCTATTTGCTTGACATAGCCAGCAACAATTGACAGGGAGACAATATGACATGGTGTTCTGTGGCCTTTAATTTATCAAATGTGATCATAAAGTCTTCACCATAGCACTTGCAAAAGATGTTAAGAAAATCATGAATAATGACCTTAAAATAAGGAAAGAATATATCTGAAAGCAAGAAAAGGGAGAATAGTGAACCTGTTTCAGCCAATACCAATTCCTTATAAATCAAAAGAATTTAACTTTGGGCAAAAACTTAATATTAACTAAAAAAGATAAAAAGGAATGTGTTTTTAAAAAATCATTGTAACCTTAATATGTTGAAGTAAATATTTGGGAATATATAACTGAAAATTGCTGGAATATCATGACCCTCTCAACAAAATCCATAAAGTTTTGTAAACAGAATCCTTTTTCTGTTCGCAAAACTTTCATTTTCTGTAGAGTGAAACAGATACATCTTCAGCTATACTAGGATATACCTATATGTTTGGAGATTACATTTATCACTCTGACTTATGCTTTGAAATCAACAAAACCCAACATGTTAAATAAAGCTTGCTTTATTTTTTGATTAATGATCAAAATTTATTAGAGAAATAAATGTTTATTTTCAAGAACTAATACACACTATTAACGACATTGTGAAACTCGGTCACAATTAGAGAGCCCAGGAACAGCTAGAAATAGACTATATTCGATTAGGTCAAATTCTAAATATTAGACCAATCATGGTCAAATTATCTCCTCATAATTGTTACTACTGTGAAATTCTAGTCATTTTTGCTACATTGAATCAATTCTCAAAATTAAAGTCCCAATCATTAATCAAACCTGGCACTGAAGACTAATCAGAACTAGGCTATGTAGAGAAGCTTAATTATTATAAAGGGGGTGTAGCTTGGGTGGCATTTCTCAAAATCATCATTCACAGGCTCCGGTTAATATAGTTTTTTAAACAGTTCTTCACACTTCATGTGAAACTCACAATAAACCATATTTGGTCTACTGGTGTCTACAGAAATAAAAAGGAAATTTATATTAATTTATCATGAGTCAGATAGTATCAATCATGAGTAATAATAAGATATTAAATGCAGTGAATAATTTCATAATATTTAAATTTCATTGAATCAATTTAAATCATACATATTGTGGTTTATGATGATAGAAACATGTAATTTTTTTTCTTCTTGGTATTACTAAGTATAGAATGACTATTCTAGGAACCGTATTACAATTGGAGGATGTGTGCTTCAATTTCAATACTAACTAACTTTGGGAGGAAAACTGTTAGGGAATTTTAAAAACTGATTCATAAAAAATAGAAATATTAAAATATAGTAACACCTTGAGAGATAGTAATGCAAATAAATGCCCAAATTTCATTGAGAAAACTTCAAAAAGGGAAAAGGTAGAAACGGAATAAACCTTTAAGAAAAAATAACAAGAACAATTACGTTACCTTTTAAAGCACTGAAAGCAATGAGTTTTACAGTGTTCTGCCAATAGAACAGAACAATAAGCTGGTTCAAAGACCAATGTTTCACCCACTTTCACATTTCTAGAAGCAACAGCAAAACGACCCATTTTTGGTGATTTATCAATTCTGATAGCTGAACTTGCAGATTTGTATGAGCTGCTATCCACAGACAGCATAGGCTTCTGATCTATTATTGGAGGTGGAGGAGCTGAAGCACAAAAGCATAGATCAATAAGGAAATTAGAATTTAATTGCATTGAATTCACATTGCATCACATTGCATTGAATCTAACCTGTCTATTTATACTCAATATATTGAAAATTCTATAGAAAAGAAATTTCAAGTAGATGGTATTTTCATAGACTTCAGCAAGGCATTTGACTCGGTCAATGATTCTTCATTATTAGATAAATTAACGACATTTAGTATTGCTGGTCTGTTGCTAAACTGTTTTAGAAGTTACTTGATTGGTAGATGGCAATAAGTGAAATACAGAAATTTTGTATCTTCTGGGAATAAAGTGCACTTAGGAGTCCCTCAAAGTTCACATTTGGGCGCTCTCTTGTTTATTTTGTTTATTAACGACTTGTGCCTTATACTCAACGACATTGAATTTTTTTATTTGCTGATGATCAAGATCTATTAATACATTTCCCCTCAAAAAATCTTTATTGACTAGCAAAATGCCATTATCAGCTTTATACTTGGTGAATAGATAACGGCATTATTTTAAACCTAGAAAAGTGTGTAAAAATTGATTTTAGTTCTTCTAGAAATAAAATTCAAATGTAATTTAATTCATCATTGAAATTCTTGAGAGATTTGAATGAGTTAAATACGTTTATAAATTGGCCAACGGTAATAGTACTAGCCCTTCATTATTGGAAGAATTGAGATTTAATGTGTCAAATAGAATGGAAGACAAGTTCCTCCACAATTTAACACTGCAACATATGGTATCGAGTAAACCGCAAATAATCCTATAACAAGAATATGCAAGTTAGTACACGTATATGGAATTGAAATATGTGGCATAAATGTAACAACGTTCGATAATACAGCAGAGTCTTTGATTTTGAAATGGGTAATGTGATATTAAATTATAACAAATAAGTGTGATTATTTTTGTAAATACAATGAAACGACAGTCATAAATCAAAAGAGTCTCAGAGTGTTGTTGTTCTGCCTATTATTTTTGTACCTTTGTGCTTACATTGTCTGTAAAAATGAATAAATAAATAAATGAGTGTGTGAGGGGGAGAGGAGAGGGGGGGAGAGGAGAGAGAGAGAGAGGGTAGAGGGGAGAGAGAGAGAGAGAGAGGGAGGGAGAGGAGAGAGGAGAGAGAGAGGAGAGAGAGGGGAGAGAGAGGAGAGAGAGGTGGAGAGGAGAGGAGAGAGAGGAGCAGAGAAAGAGAGGCAGAGAGAGGATAGAGAGAGGAGAAGCAGGAGAGAGAAGGATAGAGAGAGGAGAGAGGAGAGAGGAGAGAGAGGAGGAGAGAGAGAAGAGAGAGGAGAGAGAGAGGGAGAGAGAGGAGAGGAGAGAGAGAGGTAGAGAGAGAGGGAAGAGCAGAGAGGAGAGAGAGAAAAGAGGGAGGAGAGAGAGGCGGGAGAGAGAGAGGAGAGAGGAGAGGGAGAGGGGACGAGAGAGCGGAAGAGAGAGAGGGAGAGAGAGGGAGAGAGAGAGGGAGGAGAGAGAGAGAGAGAGGGAGAAGAGGTGAATGAGAGAGGAGAGAGAAGGGTAGAGAGCAGAGGTAGAGAGAGAGGTAGAGAGAGAGTAGAGAGAGAGGTAGAGAGGAGCAGGTAGAGAGAGCAGGGGAGAGAGAGGCGGGAGAGAGAGGGGGGAGAAGCAGGGGAGCAGAGAGGGCGGAGAGCAGAGGGAGAGAGAAGAGAAGCAGAGAGGGAGAGAGAGAGGGAGAGAGAAGAGACGGGAGAGAGAGAGGGAGAGAGAGAGAGGGATGAGAGAGAGGAGAGCAGAGACGAGAGAGAGAGCAGAGAATTTGTTACTGACAGGAAACAAAGTGCACTTTGCCCTTTACTCCAATATAGTATTTGTTGAGTATTTTACATCTAAATAAACAGTCAAATATTGCCAATGTTACACACACGATATGTTTCTTGACATCAATCACATGAATTTTGAAAAAGTGGCTACTTGGGCATTAAAACCTATTTGTCAGGGCCTAAGGGGTTTTTCCTTGCATCAAAATTACAAAATATTTTTTGTGACGTTCCATTTTTGGGATAATGTTGAATTCAAGGGACAGTCTGTGGGTGTAAATTACCCCAAAAAAGCAATATTTAAGTCACATATTGTTTAATTAGATAATATTTTTTATTTTCAACACAACATGGGCAGACCTACTTTTAAGACTCCAACGTTATGAATTTTTATTTCTGTTTTTTGCTGACATTACAGTACATTACATTTTTTTTCTTCAAATTTTACTCCTACTGCAGTGTTTCCCAATAAAATTACCTCATATCAATAAGTGTATTTTAAATGCAATTTCAGCGTGTTTCAAAGTTAGACAATAATTGTTTTAGTATTATGAACTTCATCTCCCCCCCACGTCCCCTCAGCAAAGAAAGTGTCTGTATTTAAGTACCTTCTACCTCAAAATAATGTTTTTCTGTGAAAAATTTGAAGTGTTGATTTTCTTGTTTGTTGGGCCAGATATGTATTTTTCAATTCTTGAAACTGTTTGTTTCTAAGTTTGTTAGTTTTCAATTTATTTGTACTTTCCTGAGTGCATACACCTATGCTACTACTCGAGGCCATTTAAATTTCAAGGGCCAATGATCACTAGAATACAATGAAATAAAATTAAAATTATTTTATGAGAAATTTTAAAAATGCAATTTAAGGTAATGTAAAATTATAATGTCGTTACATCAAAAGCAAAATATCCTTTTAGACAAATACTTTCTTGTAGTTAGGGAACTAGCATTAAAAAGACAACCACTTTAGGACTACTGAATCTTAATCTGGCTTTTCCCTAATGTTACTTGTTCTCTTGTTTGGCCTGACTTTAACATCATATCTCTTCTAATTTTAAGATATCTTTATGATTTATTTTTTATTTAATAGCAGAAAGCCATTTCTTGTGCATAAACCTGAAACTGTTGAATAAAATGACAATAAGAAATAATAAATTACTCTGTTAATTGTTATTGTTAACAGTGATTAACATTTGTTGACAGTTTTAAACGTTCTAATTCAAATCCCTGTTAAAAATACAAGTTCCTTATGAATCTTTTGATTTAGGTTCAGGTACTAAAATATAATCCAAGTAACAAACTTAAAAATGAATCATCAAAAAATATTTTATTGTTACTTGGTTATCATGTATCAATGATACCCTGATTTGGGAGAAAAAACGGGCATATTTGATGAAATATTTAAAATAAATTTGAAAAAAAATTGACTTCGTTAATATCTAATCTAACAAGTAATCATGATTAAATTCAGATATATATCCTAAATAAAAATGTTTAAATTCAGGTAGAGAATGACCTTAAATTTTGTTAGTAAGTTCAACTTTTCTCACTTCAACTTTATGATATCCTAAATTGAAAGTTTTATTGACATTTTACTAACATTTTCCTTTGTTCTTTTTTTCTTTCTTTTTTTGTGGAGAGGAGTGGTTAGGAGGGAGGGGAATATTTTTTCTAATTATTTTAAATAAATAAAAAGTACTCACCATTTGAAAGATTTGGGTTCTTTCCTAGCATACCAAGCATGATTTGGACATCAAGTTCCCATTTTTTTTTCCTTTCAATATTCAACTTGGCAGAATCAAGGGCTGTCAGAGTTTCTCTAAATGCTAAAAGAGCATCTTTTAAATGTTTTTTGGCAAGAAGACATCGTGCTTTCCTAAAATTTACATTAACTTAATTTGTCATTCAAAGAAAATAAACACTTTTATGAGTAAGTAGCAACAATTTTATTTGAAGGTATTTAAAATGTTTTAAAGTTATTATTACCTAGTATAGAAAGAAATTAATTTGGTTTAAATGTTTGTTGCTGTTATAATAATAATAATAATAATAATAATAATAATAATAATAATAATAATAATAATAATAATAATAATAATAATTATAACAATTATTATTATTATTATCATCATTATACCCATTACCTCAATACCACAAATATCATGGCAATTGCATTCACAGTAATAGTTCAGTACAATCAATTTTTTTTTCAGAGCAGAGTATCTTGATTCATGAAGCAAATATAATTGTTATTTATATTTCTTCATTTGAGGTAATTGAAATAAGAAAATACATCGTCTTTTACTTTTGAAATTTTTGCTACTGGGAGACCAGTTGGAGATAACAAATAGTAATATAGGAAGGCGGTACCTGTCAATTGCCTTATATCTTAACTCCAAAGGGTAGCCAAGATTAAGAGCAACTTCAATATCTGCTATTGTTGATTCATAATCTTGCAAATGATATAATGCAGCTGAGCGATTTGCTATAATCACTGCCAATTCTGAGCTGGAACCTAAAGCATCAATATTTACTATGAATATTTTTAGGGTGGTTATTGAAGAAGTAAACTTGTTAAGATGACATTGTACTTCTCTTAAGTAATACCACGACTAAGATGAAAGGTGATATTGATACCTGTTTTCCATGGGATTTTCAGGGCACTTTCTGTATAAAGTTTGCAGGCATCTTTGAAATTTTGGTCTTGAAATGCCTTATTACCTAATTTTTTTAATTTTATAGCAAGATCAAAATCTTTATCACATTCTACTTGACTTAAAGGCAGTTCAAATTTTGATTTCAGTTTTAAAATGAAATTGAAACGTTCTTCATTGCTCTTCAGTCCTTCAAATTTCTTCCATTGACCTTCATCCAGAGAAGATTCAATGTCTCTATGATATTTTCTGAAAAATCCTAATTCTGTTGCTACTTTCTCCAACATATTTGATTATATTCTGAAGAAGAAAAAAAAAACAAAAAACAACTCAGCCTGTCCTCTTAGCAATACACGTGTATACTGGATAACCTGCTTGATGTGGAGCCTCTCATCTATATTTATCTCCTTCTATTTAAAATCTCACTACCAAGTTAAAAAGAGATCCTGTTCATTTTGAAAATACACTATTTCTTTTTTAATGGTCAACAGTCTTGTCAGTATGATTATTAGTTTTAAAATGATCTTTGTCTATCTATTTAGAGAGGCTTAATTCTATTTTTTATTTAAGAAATAATTCAAATTTGACATTTGTATAATTGGGTTAATGCAAACATATTTTTATTGTTATGATGAAATTGTTCATAAATGGTCTCTAGGATCCAGTTCGTCAGTAAGAGGAATATTACTAGACCATGCAAGAAACCGACATTTTAGGTTTAGACTTTAGCAAAGTGGTGCTGGGTATAGCGAGTATCGATGGAAACCCAAGCCTTTACTTCGCCCGTTTCTGGAAATTTGAAATTTAATCAATTGTATATTTTAATAATTTGTTGCATCAAAGACGCATTTGTTTACGTGATTTGTCCACTTTTAGCGAATTAATGTAAATGCAAAACTTCCAAAGACCATTAGGGCCGAAAGGAAAGGAAAACTTGTTTTGTAAAGAAACATACGGATATTTGAATCATATTCGGTTCCAACGTCTTAGGCTTAAAAACTTAGCCATATAGTCTATGGCTGAATTGCACTTTGTGATACGATTCGTTCAGGCGCGCGGACGCATGCAATTCATTCATGTGCGAGATACATGAAGGAAAAATCTTTTGGGGGGAAGAAGGCAAGAAAACGAAGGCTCTCTTGGATAACATTAAGAAAATGTACACGCTAAATTATTTTAAGGTGTATTCTCATAAAATGCGTTGCTCAGACTCAAGGATGTTTTATGTTAACGAGAGGGCCTAATGCCCGCTAAGGTCCGAGCCTGGAACCAGAGAGTATTTGGAACCAGGCTATGTACTCTTTGTTTGGAACTGCGAAGCGGAGCGTTACTTTCCTTGAAAAAATATGTCGGTTGCACACAATGTGGCCGCGCTGCGAGCTTATTTCTAAATCGTAACCATGTATATTCTCTGTTGCCTCACATTATACTTGGATTTTTACTTCTTGGCGTGTGAGGGCCTGTTTCCCTAGCTCACGGCATTTCGCGTCTTTCTCGGTCGTGCCTAAAAAATATGCTAGAGGTCGCATGATCGCAACCCTATCAAGTAGTGCTTGTGATCATGCGACATCTAGTGGCACCGAGAAATATGAGAAATATGAATATTCCGCCTTGAGAGGCAGCAGAGGCGTATAATATAAGGGTTTGGGTATTATATCTAGGGTATGGGAGGCAGGGCACGTGCTATGAGTGTCACTCACAAAGGGCGGATTTTAGATTTCGACATTAACGAAAACAAATTAATTATTTTTCAACTATCGAATTAAACTTTTCATGACTTATGAAATAAAATATTATTTCTTTAAACACTGAAGAGCCGCGGAGCGCTCGGCCTGTGCAAAAATACGCTTTTGCGCCATTAACTCTAAAAAATTATTGCATCAATTTAAAAACTAAAATAGTTATCTATAACAAAATTGTTGTATGCTTCAATTGTATAAATTGCTTAAAAAATAAAACAAATATTATATTCTTGAAGAAGTAGCCCATTGTAGGCGGTGTCAAAACTCCATTCAAATTGTCATGTTTATTTTTCCAAATTGTAAGCAATTTTTATATTCAACATATGCAACGTTGAAAATAAAACAAGGTTTTATTTTGTTTTTTCGGCTGAAAAGCACGTTAAACCGCATAGAACTACTTTCGAGAAAAAAGGCATCTTAAGATTTTCACAGCGTATTCTAATTTATTGTCAAACATATGATTACAAATAAACTCACATTATGAGGAAATGATTATTTTAGAACGTAATAATATGTAAATTTCGCTTTCCAAAGAGCTACAGCAAAAGTGAACTGTTACACTGTATGATTGAACATATACTTTTTACAACCGTTTCCTTATTCCTTATACATTATTATTTCCCGTATACATAACAGGTACACTACAAATTACGGAGTAATATACATAGTATAGGAAAGTTATGTAATGCTGCGGAAAATCGATTTCAACAGATTTCCATGGAAATACACTTTTTAGGGTCCCTTGATACCCAAAAAGTGATTTATTCAAAACGTTCGTCCGTCTGCTTCTCTGCTCGCCTGGCTGTGAACAGCACTAAACCACGCGCGGGATTGTTTTCGCCGCGGGATTACAATCGCCGGTCGATCTGGCTCTACGCGATTCACTGCGATTTTGAAAATCTTTCTTCAAAATTGGTGGGTACTTTACATGACGCCACCCGGACATTTTCAAAATTTTAGGTCGAATTTTCACTGAATTTTTGAAAATTGCAAAAGTTTGAATTTTTATGGCGTCTTCCTACAGCTAAAAAATTGAAGATATACATTTTTCCTTCAAATTAAATTTGTTGTCCATAATTAGTTTTTTCCTATCGTGAAGTACATTTTTTTAAAACTTTCAGTAGTTTTCGCACAATATTGCGTTCAATATTTGCAATTATAAAAGTTCAAAAACAAGATTTTCTCAAAAGCGCTTCATTTTTTTTTAAAAAGTTTGGTAGGGATAGCGCTAAATGTACTGTATAAAATGACTTAAACGCCATATTGCTCTATTGCTCTATTTCATAATGCTCTATTCTTTTGTTCTTTCAAAAACGACAAAAATATTTTTGTACATCTCTCTCACGTGGTTAATATTTTCATGAGCGGCAATTTCTTTACATTATTGTTTTTAAGAGTACATATACTACTTTCAAATACGTGATACAAACTTCCTTGAAAACTCAACAGTTTTCTATGAAAATAAGCTCAAAATTCCGCATTTTCAGAAATACAAACGCCACTTTTTCAAAAATGGCTCCCAAGTATTATCTTTTCCAACGGGTAGTGCTAATTACACTGTTAAAAATGACATAAAGTTCATTTTTCTTTATTCCTTTGTTTTTTCAAAAATTCAACAAATGTAGTTTGTTTAATATCTCTCCTTTAATATGCCCATTTCCAGCGATTTGTAAACACTATTGCATTTATAAGTTAAAGTGATTCAAATGCAGTTTTTCGAAAACTCAAAAATATTCTGGGTATAATAGTTTCAAATTTCGCATTTACAGTAACGTCTAAGCACCATTTTCATAAAAACAGCTCCAATTTTTTCGATGAAAATTGCTAATTATAACGAAGATTTTCTCTTCTTTAATATGCCGAAAGTAATATTTCCGTTCTACTATTAGTAAACAAAAAAATTGAGAAAATGTCAAAAAATTGTAATTTTGGCGGCGTTAGACGGCAGCTGGCAAGAGGATAGTGTAAGGCCGTAAAGCCAGTCCACACTAAGGAAATTAGAAACCTTTGCTACAAGAAAATCTGTGCCATTCTATAGTACAACTAGTTATTTACTTCCGACAGTGTATTCTCAATTTTCACCACTTTGTACATTTTCAACCTGGAATGTTAGATTATCATAAGAGAATGTTGTGTGTGTGTGTGTATGTGTGTGTGTGGGTGTGTGTGTGGGGGGGGGGTGACGCCTCTGAGAGGCATCTAGGGAAAGGTTGGGTGGTATCAGCCACCTGAGCTTTTTTTAATTTGTCTGGCAGAAAAATAACTATAGCCAATTACTTAATGCACAAAATGATACATGGTTCTCGTAAACTCATGTTCCGAGGGTACAATAATTTTTCATCTTGATTTTGGAGAACATAAGGCATCCAAATCAGCTCTCCTGGCGCGTTTTGCCCGTCAGCTATTGGACGCAACTTTATTTTAGAAAAAAGAACATCTCACTACGAGAAAGTGTGCGTAAACAAAACAGAAACATTTTTAAACCTTAATAGACAGAGGAAAACCTCCAGCGAAGGATGAACACGAAGTTAGAAATTAGACTCTTGGGGCCGGTTGCATAAACATTAGATATGGAATCCATAAGCTTATTGGTTTTATAAAATAGTCCATAGCGGCAAAACGTGTTTCTAGAACAACCAATAAGACTTATGGAATTTATAAGGCTTTCTATAATTTATAGTTCCTGAAACGGGTCTACAAATGCTTATGGATTCATCAATAAAGCAACATGGCGGCTCTGCGCACTGCTACAGCTGTTTTGTTTGTTTGAGGTTATTGGCGGTAACCAGGCAGAGAGTATATATTCAGAGACGGCAGTCAATGTTAAACGGAAGCGCCCTTATTTTCGTTTGAGGGGAGTATTCGAATCCTCGCACCCCCAACAGATAACAACGAATGAGAAAGAGGCAGCCATATTTGACCCTCGCTAGCGCATAGCCGTCGAAAGGTCAGTAAAACCAAAATTGAAATGGGAGGAAGGAAGTGAACCGGGCTAATTTTGAAATTAACATTATTTAGTAAAATTTCTCAATATGGCGGACATGTTATGTTTACTAAAATAAAATGATTTTGACATAAAAATGAATGCATAAAAAGTAATGTAGAAGTCAGTAATTCTTAAAGGATATGTAATTGTGAGGAAGTGAAGTAAATTGATAAATGATAGGAGGTGAAAATTAAAAAAAGGTATTTTACTAAATTGTTTATTTGTAAAATTGGTACATATACAAAAAATAACAATGTGCATGAAAAAAATCCTGTTATGTGAAACAAAGGAACAAATCTCGGCAATCATCATTTGTGATATATCATAATACTAAATATCACTGCTGCTAAACAAAAAAAAAATTGTCACATACATCAACATAACGCCCATGCATGACAATCAGGATATATATATATAAAAGCATACAATACACAATAGAGATCATTCTAAAAATTGAATATAAGACATAAATTAAATGTAAAATTCAATCCTTGTATTAAAACAATATCACTGGAAAGATAATTAATTTTATATACATGGTAGTGTAAGAAGACTAATATTCAAATATCAATAATAAAATAAAAAAAAATTCTTTCATTGATTCGTGCCTAAGGCTGGGTCAGTCCTTTATATCCAACAACCAGTTTAGGTGCTTTGAAAATGTGCCAACAGAAAATGCAAAATTTTTAGTACTAGTTTATATTGATGTAGATAACGTGTTATATAACTAAATATAAAAATGCAAACACATACTTAAAATTATATGATTCCTAAAACAAATCTCAAAAATAGATCATGTTGCGTTTGTGAATATGTTTATTAAAATAATATAAATTTCCTAATAACAATCCCAAAACTGTTATCCAAAGAGCTATGTATATAGTGCACAAGGCAATCATGTAAGAAAAATAGTAAGAATTAAAAATTAACAGCCATACCATGAGACAGTTATCCTGCAAAATGATCTTTTTTTATATAAAACCACAAAAACGTCTTCATTTTGTACATATCTTGTGTAGGAAAGTGAAGCTCACAAAGTTGATTTCAAGTATGTTTCTGACTTATTTACATTTGCTAGACAATTTCTTGTATTCTTTTGATTAATGAAATATTGGAGTCCTGCAGTTTTGGACGTATTCAATTAGTGATAATGCACAAGAAAAAATCCATCACAGAATGTGTTTAGAAAAGAATATTATGTCATACTAAGAATACATATTATTGTGTTTATATACATGCATACTTCTGTGTTAGAAATAGTATTATCATGAAAAGCGATTGAAATGAAAGTAACTACCTGGACTCTTCAAAATTCGGTATTTATGGCTGTCTGTTTTATATCACTTACATCCATTACTTAACTTCACATATTCTCATCTCCATTTAAATATGACTTATATAAATTATTAAAATATTGTTTTTTAGGGATGTCATTGGAGTAATGTAAATCACTCATGAAAACACTATTACTATTATAGTGTTAACTTCACATCCAAATTTATTGCACAGCAATATCAAGAAATTCCGAAATATTGACGGGTATTATATTTTGATGTCATCAGTGTTTTCTTCCTCATATATGCAACATAGAGCTAGCCCGACCATTTTCTTAGAACATAGCACATTGGGAGAGGTGAGCTGCATATACCCTTACCAGTACAGGCGTACGTGTGTTGTGGTTTGGTGCTCTTACGAAATTGTATTTGGTGTGTTGTGTGCGCTTTAGTGTATTTGTATTGTTGAATATCAGTGAATTCTATATTAATACATTATTTTTGCACGTATTGGACGAAGAAGGTAAGGGATTAATCTGGTTATGAAAATTGTAGATCTTTTGCTATAATATTTTGTCTTCTTCCTTTTTACAATTCTCTTTCACCAAGCATCAATATCAATCAACCTCCATCCAATACTTATGTGTGGCATCCATCCTCCTTTGAGGACAGACTTCATACATAAAATTCTAGGGAAACTAATCATGAAGTACTCAGACCTTTAGATTGAAAGAAAACTATTCGAATAATGAAGAAATGCCATCCGCGGGATCCCTGCAAGCCTGTCTTCATTGAATTTGGAATCTTACCATTGCCTTACCTCTATATTTACGAATATGTAATATTTGTCAAAAGTGACTTACTTAACGGTGGGAACATATTATCATACAATACTGATATTTATAATTACAACACATGTCGTAAAAATCACGTTTATCAACTGTCAGTATCAACACTTCACTATCAGAAATCCACATACAATACATATACGTTACTTTACAACGCATTGCCAGATGACATTAAACAATTGAAGTCGGTTCACAAATTTAAGTTAAAAGTAAAATCTTTTCTGCTGCATAACTGTGTCTATACAATTAGAAACTACTGATTAAGAAAAATAATGTTTATTTTAACAATTTTAATAAAACATTCCTTGTTTGACTATCTTCTTAGATCTTGCTAAGGCATTTGATACTGTTAATCATGAGATATTGTTGAACAAATTGTATGAAATGAGATTTATAGGCACTTCTTATAATCTGTTTAAAAGCTATTTGACGAATAGAAAACAGGTGGTCAGAATAAATAATGTTATTAGTGAGGAACAAATTGTAACCTGCGGTGTTCCACAAGGTACTATATTGGGACCCATACTTTTTTTATTATACATAAACGATATTTTTGGAATATTGACTCAAGGTGAATTGGTATCATTGGCAGATGATACAGCTGTAATAATTAAAGGCAAAACATGGCCTGAGGTTCTTGGGCGAGCCGAACAAAATTTGAAATTGATAACTACATGGCTAAAAGATAATTATTTAAGACTAAATATCCAACAATCCGTTTATGTAACTTATGGTAGTTATCAAGATAGCATTCCTGTCGATTGTTCGATAAAAATACATAAAATTTTATGCAATACTAATTATTATTGTTGTCCTGACATGAATAGAACATCGATTGCTAAGTATTTGGGGACCTATATTGATTGTAATTTTAAATGGAGTCATCAAATTCAACAAATTGTAAAGAAGGTTAGATACTTGATTTATATCTTTTATAAGTTGAGACCTATACTCAATACTAAGCAATTGATGTCTATATACTATGCATTGTTTTGGTCCATAGCAACCTATGGTATTGTAGCATGGGGTGGAGCCTACGATAATATGAAAGAGTTAATTGATATACAGAAACGAATTATAAATATCATTTATAATAAAAGCAAACTATTTCCATCGGAAATAATATTTTAGAGAATATAAAATAATCAGCGTGAAGAAATTTTATATAGAAAAAGCGTTATTAACAAACTTTAAGTCTATGTATAATGATTATAAAACTATTACAGCGACAAAGAGGAACATAGATATCATTCCGAAAAAAATCATAAAGAAATTAGTAGACGTCGGCATTATTATATTTGTTACAAAATATTCAACGCGTTGAGTACAGAACTCAAAAATTGTGATGTTAATACACGAGGACAACGATAGCGTATCAGATCCTGGATTATTGATTTGAATGATTCAGTAATTCGATCATTCTATCAACCATGCAGTGACTAAGGAATAATATCTGAATATGTCTCAAATTATATTATATTTTATATTATTTTTCATTTTATAGTTTTCATTTTTCTTTAATTTTTTTTCAAAAATTGATAAATGAAACAGGTAGACATATATGATACATGATTAGTCACTGCAGGTTCGCGCACAAGACTATGTCTTCTGCGAAATAATGTCAACATTATTTGTACTTTGTTACAACCTGAAAATAAATAAATAAATAAATAAAAACAAAACTGATATAAATTGAATTAGTTTACATTTGTATTGTATACTAATGTGTACTCATGTATTAAAAAAAGCTTAATATGTTTGTAACAAATAATGTATTATACGCGCAAGTTTTCTTGATATTCCATAGCGGGGAGTGCGGGGAGAGGAAGGATGTGGCTACGGCACGGTTTAAAAGGGCATACCAACTGTGGGCATGAACTTAATTCGCCAAATCATGGCACTAGAAATGCTACGATTGTTTTGAAAGTACGCGGTGATTGTTGCCAGCATTGTAAATGAGTACGTGCCGTTCCGAGTCAAACCTAAGTATGTCAACGTGCCGTGCTATTCAGCGCTGGATGAGGACTAGGGAGCTCGTGTATCAAGAAAACTTGCGGAACAGTTACTTCAGCTTCGGGATCAATGACCCCCATCTCGATCAGGTTTTTGTAATGGGAGCAATCAGTGAATTAAGAAAATCATATTAATTCATTTCTTTCAAAATACCCTTTCAAGTCTCTTGTTTCAAAACTTTATTTTTATATTGCTCATTATGTATTGTTTTCATACATGAAATAATATTTTTTGTATTTCCAACATTATAAAAGAACCTTTTCTGTTGCAAGAAATTGTTCATAATCGGGTATTTTACCGCACAAATGATGACGTATTAGATTTTTCCACACAAGTTTTTCCCAGTTCATTTCCGTTTAAAGAGATAAAAGAGTCAAGTATGAAATTCAAAAAAAATTATCACATCTTTTACTGCGAGTCACATAGTTATTTATCACATCTTTTACAGCGAAATGTTACAACCGTAGCCGTTTCTATGCACTGTTTAGTGTTTTCCTACGGTAGCGAATGCCAAAACAATGTGTAAAATATATTTCTTACATCGTGGTTTAATTCCAATATCTTATAACCAATGAAGGAGTAGAAATGTCAGAAAACTCGTTCGCTGACCGACTCGAGCAAGGAACCCTTTTGCCTCTGCAGAGGCGAACACGAGAAAACTCTTTTAGGTATGTTGGGGTTGATAAGTGTTCTTTGTTTCGATTTTCCACGTTTCTCGTCGCTCATTTCTGGAAACACATTCCTTGATTGTATTATGCTAGTAAAAACTCTACTGCGGGCCTGACACTGTGAAGCTTACAGCCTTCATCGTTTTGAACTAGTCTTTTAAATTCTCAATCAGTGGTACCACTACCACTACACTACGTGGAGCGTTGTTACGCAAGTGATGAGTAAGTGAGAAAGTGTTTCGGATGACGCGATTGCGAATAGGAGGTTGGTGATCTGTATACTGGTTTGTGTGTTGTCTTCTGATGACCGAAAAGTTGCTGGGAGAGAATGAAATGCCGTTTGTGGTGAATGTGTAGATTGGTGTTAAAAACTGTGTTGCGTGGAATTACGACTTATAGATTATATGTTTATATTCAGATATGGCATCTGCTCCTTATAAGTTGAGTTGTGTGCTTTATGGTCACACGTTAGACGTTAGATCAATTGCGGTTTCTCAGGAAGGTTATATTGTGTCCGGTTCTCGTGATAAAACTGCGAAAATATGGAAACCTAATGGGTAATTAATTGTGGTGGTTGTCACTGGTGAGCATTAATTCTAGAAGCCCATGCACACATTTTTTGATAAACTGAATTATGTCATTGTTTTTCAGGATTAATGCAGGTTATACTGAAGTCCAGACTTTATTAGGTCATACAAATTTTGTATCATGTGTTTGTGTGTTACCTCCTGATTCTCAGTTTCCCAAAGGTCTTATTCTGACAGGAAGCAATGATAGCAATATTCGAATGTTTGCAGTGGATTCACCTCAGCCAATAGCAGTTCTGAAGGGACATAAAAACGTTGGTGTGTGTTATATTATGAATTATAAATAGTTGTCAATATCCATGTACAAACACCATATGAATTCTACTACACTAATAATTTTAGTTTGTAGCTTATCATCTGGTGTAATAAATGGAACTGTTGTCAGTTCATCATGGGATTCCACTGCCATGACATGGAAAACTGATGGAGGTAAACTCTTACAAACTTTCTCAGGCCATCAAATGGCTGTGTGGAGTTCTATACAGCTGGCATCAGGGGATGTGGTTACTGGTTCAGCTGATAAGAGTATAAAAATTTGGCTACCAGACGGGATTTGCCAAAAGACCCTTACAGGTAATTGCTACTGAAAACTGGACACAGTTTTTAATGAGCTTTTAGTTCAACAGCCTGTCTCAATTAATGGTCTGTGCCCAAAATAGAGTTAAGTCAAATCTACAACCAAGTAGGTGTATTTGGAAAACTAAATTACATTACTGTAGCATTGTTGTCCAAAGGGGCTCACAAATAATGATCATATTTATTTTGAAGGCGTTAATATATTTCTTATTTTCACAATTTTCAGATGATGAATTCCATAATTTTATCATATTACTTTAAATTCTCTTAAAATGTATTGTTTTCCATGATGATCCATCATTTTTGTTTTTAAATCTCGAACTGACTTTTATACATAATTTAATTTTTACACACAGGTCACACAGATTGTGTTCGTGGACTGACAGCCACTTCAGCTAATGAATTCTTGTCTGTTGCTAATGATGCAACTGTAAAACATTGGAATGCTACTAAGGGAACATGTTTGGCTACTTTCTATGGCCATTCAAATTATATTTACTGGTAAATGTGGCAGAGTTATATATTTTGGAGCTATTGTACGTGTTGCAATGTCTTTACTAGCATAATACAATTTCAGCGTGTCAGTTTTCCCTCAAGGTGGGGCAGAATGTTTTGTTACATCTGGTGAAGATCGTACTGTTCGTGTTTGGCATGGTGGAGAGGTAGAACAGACTGTTACTTTACCAGCTCAGAGTGTGTGGACTGTTGCTTGCCTAGCAAATGGAGATATTGTAACTGGGAGTAGGTGTGTATGAATTTAATGTTTCTGGACTGTGAAATTTTCAGATAATTTTGTAAGAAAACTATTAACCCTAGCTAGTTTCTTTGCTAAGGGACAATTTTGATTTTACTAGCCCCACAAGAGCCTTTAACTCAAATTTTCCATTTATTTTTATATATATCTAGCGATGGTGTGATAAGAGTTTTTAGTTGTGATGTTAATCGACAAGCAGACTCTGAATTACTTCAACAATTTGAAGAACAAGTGGCTAGTACTGGCGTGAATGCTGAACAAGAGTTGGGAGGTGTGAAAGTCAGTGAGTAAGTAATTGAAATTATATTTTATATGTGAGAGTGCTTTAAGAGTAGACAAATAGTAAGTACTTAAAGACTGAAATATATTGTTTTAGTTTACCCGGTAAAGAGGTTTTGTCATCACCTGGTATAAAAGATGGGCAAACGAAACTGATTCGAGAAGGATCGGATGTGCATTGTTATAGTTGGTCTGCTGCAGATGGCAAGTGGGAGAAAGTTGGAGATGTGGTTGGAGCCAGTGGGGGTTCACAGAGTACATCGGGTAAAGTCCTCTATAATGGCAAAGTGAGTGCCTAATAACTTACCTGCAAGTACATGTGGAATTAGCAACTATATTTTATGCATTTGTCAAAAATTATTTTTGTATAATTATCAGTGATGTCAGGAGATTGCAGTTTAACCCTTCTACCCTGTTTGGGGTCAAAACCCACCGGTACCATGAAGTTAAATAAAAGTTATGCTCCATTTTATTTATAACATTTTTACAATCCAGATATGGTATTCTTGGTTCTTTTAATACCCAATAATCAAATCGATTAGTTTTAAATAAGGTAATGTTAGTAATGTGTATTCTATTTTATGGAGCTTACAATCACTGAGTATTGGTCCTGACACATTCTTTATACAAAGTAGTGCCTTCCTGTGTCTTGGCCGCTTATAACCATCCATATCAAAACAGAAAGAGGATGTTTTACTCGTTCCACAATAAAGTAACTAGGTAACGTACTTCTCATTACACCTGTGTCGATGAACTGTCTTGATTCGCAAGATCTGGATTGACTAGTCTGAGAAGAAAATCTGTTCAATAATATTTTTTAGAAGTTACATTTTTGAAGATATTACAAAACTTGTTCCAATCTTCTTCGGTTCAATTCCATTACTTTTTAGCAAAATTTAAACTATTTTTCATCAATTTAGAGTGTGAGTTTGGGTTTTCTCAGAGGTCATCGACACTTAAAATCCACTTCTACAAACCTTCTTCTTGGAGTTCACTCTGATAGATGCATTCCAGCAACTTTGTGAATCATGTTTACACGTTTTTGTAGTTTCTGATGGTTTTGTATTGCAATGCGATATAGTTCCCGTTCAGTTGTTGGTGAAGTGAATTTTTTCTGCCACATTAAGCTTTCTTTTGATATTTCAAACTATTGACTGTGAAACTCCTTCCTAATTAGCAATCTTTCTTTGGGTGTGCTAACAATGGTGAATCAAATTAGCAATTCGTCCCTTTTTCATGGTGTTAGATCAAAACGGTTACCCATGACTACTGAAGGTCATGTTCTTGACGTTAAAAAATCAAATAATATATTAAATCGTGGTAAATATTGAAATTACATTTTCTGTGGTATAATGCCATGACATGCATGTGTTTACCACAATAACAATACCGAAGAGAACAAAAATGTCAAAAATACTTCTATCAGTAATCACGTGTGACATGAACACACTATGTAATAATGGACATGGAAGAGTTATGTGGCATGTTGAACAATGTTGCCGAACTAAAACATATTAATAAATGCATATATTTACAAAGTAACAGTCAGTTAAAATATTAATTAAATTAATCAGAAATTACAAAATAATCGAATTTGATTTTGAGTGTAATAGTTTGCCAACCAATGTATATATACAATGTATTGGTGCACTCTAAATAACTACCATGCATTGTAAGTACAGTTTTGGAGATGTTGAGGCATAGTTGGTTTAAAAATCATAATGTCACTTTTTTTTCTTCTTTCTTTCAAGAGAAGCTCTATTATAAGCAATACCTCTGTCCACGACTGGGCCTTGACAAACCCAGTGGTGTCATTGCATAACAGATGTAACGGTCATAAGATTGTTCCGCATGTATTTTTTCGCAGATAATTTTTGATAATTGTATTTTTTAGTAGTATGTTCATTGTCTGTTAGTAAAATTCTGTCGATTTTCAGTACTTTCAATTTTAAGACAGTCAGTTGAATTATTTTAAAAAAATAACTGGTTAATTGAATTGTATGTTATTTCATAGAAATTACTTTTGTATAAATTAATTAAACTATATAGAAAAATTCTTGTTTTTAATTAATACTATGTTGTGAGAATATTATAAATAAAATATTCAAAAATTAATTAAAAACTTTTTTAAAATTTAGTTCATAACATTCAACATTGATTTAAAAATAAGACAATTTTAAATGTATTCTTTGATTTAATAATAGTGACTTCTGACATTTATCAGCTGAAATGCGGTTATCCAATCCGAAGTTGCAATACCAAAAATGAAGCTCTTGATTGTATAATTGCTTCCAGCTAATCAAATGTCAGGAGTCACCATAATTAAATGGGACATAATAAAAATTGCAATTATTTTCCAGGGTTACGTATGACCTCATACACAGTTTAAGTAATTCTTAACAAAACAGGGTACAAGGGTTAAGAAAATGATGTGCAGTATTATTTTTAAAAAATAACTTATTGTGCAATATTCATATGTCCAGGAGTAATTGAATTGAGCATCTAGTTTCAAGTATGTTCTACTGACTAGTTAAGTTATTTGAAATAATAAATTACCAATTTTTAACAGACCATATTTTTTGTCAAGAAATTGAAAAGTATAATTTGAAGAAATTTGTAATGAGCTCTCAATGGTGGTTGCTATACAACTTTTTAGTTAAATAGAGCTCTGTTGAAAACTGACCCTTAATTTTTGCGGAACAATTATTATATTTCATAAGAAGAACATCATTACAGAAAGTAGCGATCTAACATTTACCTACCATTATTCAGCATTTAAAATTTTTGCTTTCTTTCAATTTTTAGGAATATGATTATGTATTTAGTGTTGATATTGAGGATGGAAAACCACCTTTAAAGCTGCCTTATAATTCAGATGAAGATCCATGGTTTGCTGCTCAAAAATTTATCCATGAAAATAATCTTAGCCAGCTCTTTCTTGACCAAGTAGCAAATTTTATTGTTAATAACAGTAAAAAAATTACAACAGCTTCTGCTTCAACATCGACATCATCTTACTGTGATCCATTCACAGGTAGAGTATGTTTGATTAGCAATAAAGGTTTAATTGATATTTTTCTGCATGATTTGTGTATGAATGTTATGGATTGTAGGTGGCAGTCGTTACATTCCTGGAAATGAAACAGCAAGAGGAAATGGCCCTGCTCCCACTGGTTTGGATCCGTTTACAGGTTAGTTGCCTTTTCATTGTTGCTAATTGTGTAATGTTCAAATGTTTTGTTCCAAGAGGTGCAACAATGATTTTCCTCTGGAGGAGGCTACAGATACAGTGTTCAGTCAACTCTTGTTTTCTCATAAAGAATTTTTCATTTATGCTGAATGTAAAATGTATTTGTATTTGTTAATGTGTTGTTAAAAATTGATACATTGAATGACTTAGTATAGAAGTATTGATGTTGTTAGTATAGAAAATAAAACTATAGTTTTTTAATACAGTAAAACTCCTTTTTTCACATTCCTGCATTTTATTTTATCCTTTTACATAATTTATCTTTTGTTCTGTCCTAAACCCTATATTTTACTATGTGCAATTTACAGATTGATAGGAACAGGGTTTCCCATCTTTTGTGTTTCTTCTCAATTTTTTACTTTCTCATATATGTACATATTATATGGTAATATATTTAAAGCAGGGGAAGTTATGTATGCCGCAGAAAAAATGGTGATTTTTCGTCAGAAAAACTCTTACTGATACAGATAAAGTGGATAAATCCTGCTTTAATATGTATTTAGCGAACTCACAAAGCCTCAGATTTGTTGAGATCAGTCGAGGAACATCACTTTTGAAGAAAGTTGGCTGAACAGTTGAGCTGCGAGTGTTGAGAGGCAGATCCAGAGGGGAGGGCAAGGGGGCCATGATTCTTCCCTTCTTTTATCTGGCAAAATATATTTAAATATACATTTTTGTTAGAATTAAATAATTATTAAAAAAATAATATGGTGTAGTATCATATATACACTTCATAAATAATATACAATATAATAACAAGTGTTTATTATTTAACAATAACCTACAATATCTCCCTTCAAAATGATCGGTGGAAGGTCTGACCAGACACAGACGTTTTGTAGTCAATTGGCAGTTTTTCGGTTTCAAAGATCCAAAACATGGATTCTGGCTACAACATGTGTTAGAAAAAGTAATTTACCATACATAAGAATGTGATTTACTTCTTCATTGCCAGGACCATCGATAAGTTTTTCTGTCGAAAATTCACTGTTTTCTGGTACAAGATTATAATACTTTTTCTTCTTACGAAGTAAGGGCGAGAAAATAAAAACAAAGCCACCATTGGGGTTAATAAATGTAAGTACTCTCTTAGTCTATTTTTTTAATGTTCCTGCATTTTTCTCTTTTTCCATTGGTCCCCTGAAAATATAAAAAGAGAGTTTTACCTGTAGGTATCATTGGGGGGGGGGGGTGGGGGTGGGCAATGAGCCACGTGGAATATGCTCGTCCAACTTGATATGTGGTTTTTATTTCAGGAAGCAGCAGTTACAAAACTCCACAGGCCGCTGCATGTCCCAGTAAACCGTACTTTCCTCAAAAGACTTATGTTCGGTTTGATCAAGCAAACTTAAAGATTATCCTTGGTTGGCATTTACTTACACTTTATTCCTATACTTTAATTCAAGTTTTGACAGGTACATTCTAATTTTAAAATATTTTCAGAGAAACTTACCGAATTCAATCGGAGAACAGGTGATGGAAATCATAAAGTAGATGAAATTTTTTTGGAAGGTGTGGTGAAGTTGGGAAATTTGGGAGAGCCTGCAAATCTGGTTCATGTGCAAATTTTAAAACAATTGCTAGAATGGCCACAAGGTAAGAAAATATTAGTAATTCACCATTGTTCAAATACTTATCATGGTTATCTGTTAAGCAGTCCAGGATGCCCTGCCCACTCATGAAGTTTGGCAACAATGTCATCCTGATGCATTGTGATTTACATACTTTCAAGTTTGTAAGTTTTTGTTGTTTTTCTTGGCTTCTTAAGAGTTCATGCAAAATGTTGTGAGCAATTTTGCCCGTGGTTCAGAAGTTATTCTCAAAATTCACTTTCACACCCAAAACATTTTTCTATATATAAGATTATTCAGGTACTGGAATTGTTATGAACAGTCTCATACCAATGCCATTCCTCCATACCTGGAGGTGAACAGCAGACCCCAGAATAAATTGCAATATAATTGGAGGTTTTGTGAAAACAATTTTTAATGAGTTGTGTATTTGAGTACATATAACAATCATTTTCTGCATGTGTATGTCAAGGCATTTTCAGATTTTGAGTTTAGACAAGTACAAATATATTTTGGATATTTTCTGTACTTGTGATCCTCTCAGCAGTGACACTATTGGCAATGTTAATTTTTGAAGGACTTATTCAACATCCTTTATGTTGCTCTAATTGCCGAACTGTTCTCTATATTGACAGACACAAAAACAACAAAGTGTATTTAATATGATTATTGGCAGTAAGATAAATCTGAAGTTTCCACAGCAATTTAGAGTGGTTTTTGATTTTTTGTAAACGTCTGATAAGAAATGGAACACTATCATGGAAGAGTTCAGAACGGTTTTAGTAATAAGTCCTAAATAATGAAACAGTATGTCCTTACCAAAACAAAGTTATTGGTAAACATTTATACTCAGGTCTATCATTGAAATATTTCTTTTGAATTTCAAAAATTTAGGACACAATATTATTGAACATCCAATAATCCATCCAATCTGAAAACTCAATCTCTTTTTTTGATTTATTAATTTGAAGTAAATATTACCAGTATGTGATTAAGATTTGTTCAGTTTTTTAGAACAAATTGAAAGAGATGTGCAAAAGCAACACATTTTTAAAAAAAATAGCTAACTACTCTGTGATATCCCTTCTATTAGACTTTCAGGATAAAAAAAAACATTAAAAAAGAATAATCTTTTTTTGTCCAAATCTGAAAACTGGAACTAGAAAGACTTTTCCTACCAACCCTAAGCATAAGAAACTCCAATAAGATAAATGTCTGTATGTATGTACTTGGCGTGACAGCAACTCCGTCACACAGCAACTTGTACTGGGAACACAGGCAACGCAAACACAGTATAGCTGTTGACCAGGAATTGAACCCGGGACTGCATAGAGAAAAAGGAGCATGCTGACCAAGAAAGATAAATGACTGTTAAAAAAAAAATATATATATATATATTTTATATTTGGAACTTAATATTATACATTCTTTTCTTTGTATTAACTATTAGAGCTTGGTTTAAATCAATTTGATTTTCCACTCAATGGGTATGCCTGGATTGATCAGATTTCTCACTCATGGCATATACTGGTTCAAAATATGAATAATTTTTACCTAATTTACATTTTCATTAAAACATCTGCCCTGTTTATTTAGTATTAAAACTAGAGGTCTTTTTTAATGCAATTTATTCCTCATTATTAGTTCTTTAAAGAAATACACCTACTTTTTCAAAAATATTAATTATAATTGCAGCCAGTGGTGAAGGGGGAAGTGTGTTTTGTAAACCGCAATAATCAAGTTCAAATCTCAATCGAACGGAATATTTTTTTTCTTCAAACATTTTCACTTTCTCGCCCTTACTTATGAAAGAAAGGAAAGTATTGTAAGCGTAAGCCGAAAATGGCGAATTACCGGCACCAATACTCCTATCGCCGAGCCCTGGTAAGGAAATAGTGGATAAATCCAGTTGCTAAATAAAGAAAAAATTCTCTAACACGTGGTGTAGCCAAAATGTTTTAGAAAGAAATAATTTCACATCATTAATAAATAACAAAAATAAAAGGGGTCCCAATTGAGAACCTAGTGGTACTCCTGATGTACAATTATGTTGCGGGTTAAGAATGATAAATATTTAACATTCAGTATTCTATCAGGCAAATAGTTTTTCAACCATTGCAAAATACTACCATAAATGCCCAAATTTGACAGTTTATTCCCTTTTCTGAATGAGGCATCCAATCAAACACAAGTATACATTATGTAAGAAGTTGCATAGAATTTTGAACTTTGAATAAAATTGTTAACATTGCATTTTTTCAGTCTCGGTTCCAGCTTTAAATTTAATGATAAAATAATGAAGGTCCACTCTTGCTAATAAGTGTTTTTAATAGTTTAGGTTATGGTTAGCTGCCTTGCTTATAAGAAGGGCCCTCTTAATCCTGAGCGTTGAAAGTTTGGTGGAAATTCAAGTACCCCTCATAGGTTTCATATACGAAATTGCATATCACTTAAAAATAAATATTTTGATGTATGATGCATAAAAATAAATAATTTTCATCGAGACAAATATACGTTTTGCTAAATTTTTTATGAATAAATGAATATTTTGAAGTTTAATACTTTCAATTTTAATACTTTGGAGTTTTTGGATATATGGTGAAAGATGTGTCTCAGTTTGCCATGCAGTCGTTGGTTGGTCACAGATCACTTGTTTTTGTGGGACTTTCCCAAATGAGTGGTATGAGCCTGGTGTACGACATGACAAAACATCTGAGGGCCATTGCTAACCCAACAAATTCAGACAATGAGACTTCGAGAGATAACATAATCTCACAATATTAGTAGTACCCAAATTGTTCAAATTTTACAGACTAAATTTGCAGAGTGATAAAAAGGTCGACCTCATGTTTTACTTCGAGACTTCTCTTGGTCTTGGTTACTGGTTTTCATATGAGTAATAAATACTATTTTTGTCATTCTAACGTAGATTTTTCACTTTTTAGGCGTACAAAAAATTAATATTTTCCATATTTCTAGCATATAAAAGTCTGAGCGCTACTTACGAAAATACGGTAAAGAACTTGCAATTTAAACTAGCCTTTTTCTTGTATATGGCAGGAATCTCATTCTGTAGATATAATTTTATCTGTTTTAATGTTTTTAAACTTATACTTTTCCTGAACAACTTATCAGATATGGTAATTTTACATTACGCAATGAAACACTTCACCCTGTGTGGCTACTTCTAAAGGGAGATATTTACTGTTATAATTATGTAAGTTAGTACATTGAGATTAAACAGAGTATAAGAAAATATTTTTTGTATCATGATTTCAGATATTTTATTCCCAGTATTGGATGTAACGCGATTGGCTGTACGAAATGAAGAAGTGAATAAGGAACTTTGTTCTGGTGAAACTGGAAATCAAATGTTTAGTTATTTACAAAAATTTCTTGTTCCCGGATCTTCATCAACAAATCAGATGTTGACTTTGCGTATATTAAGTAATATGTTAGCTCATCCTAGTGGAGAACAACTCGTTTTAAATCACCGTGACTATATCTTATCAGCTTTATCTGCTTTGGCGGCTCCATTTAATAAACATATGCAGGTAATGTTAGAAATTGCTAATAACTATCAAATTGTAGAGTAAAATTTTCTCTTGAAATGTTGTAAAAACTAGTGGTATAACTGTTTCAAAAGGGGAAATTGGCAGTATTGCTCAGAGTTTACTTATGGCAGAATAGAATGTTGCTACTGTGCAATAGAATTTTAAATTATTTTAATGAATTTATGATTATAACATAAACAGCATTAATTCTCTTTGGAAGGTATGGTTCAGATTTACTGTCTTGCTGGATGAAATACCATGCTACATAGTAGTCCTGTTGGTTATCCTCATGTCATACTGTTAACATTAAATTTCTATCCTGAATTGGTCTATATGTGTATTCTCATAGTACCACATGTGTAGTAGACATTTTATTTATGACCGATATCAGTCTCGAATTTCCAGCCAAGAAAAAGAAGTTAGATGGTTTTCTTTAATATTATTTTGAACTGTATATTTTAGAAAAGAACATAGTTCTATTTTATGTTGAGAGAAAGCATTCTTGCATTAGTCATTAATTTTTTGAATAAACAGTCAAACCTTTCAAAAACAGAACTTGATAATAATAGAAAACTGCCTTCAACGTAAAAATATATCAGTGTTTACTGTATGCAATTTTATATACTGTTAACGGAACCTGCTGGAAACGGACACTTTGTCTATTTGTGGCAACCTGACAGTTGTGGAAAGAGATGTCAGATGAAAGAATGACCTTCACATCTGCTTGGCATGATCTGCTAGAAGTTGACAAATGTCCAGAGGGAGAAGCCAATTCTCATGGCACATGTGCTGCTCTATCTCTCCCAGCCCAAGAGGCTTGCGTAAAAAGCTTCAGTGTCCTCTGAATATTCAAAATAGTTGAACCGTTATATCTTTAATAAAGTATATACTGTGTCTTTGGTGTAGTACTCTGTGAATGATAAATTTGGGGAAGAGGAAACTCTGACATTGCAAAAACTTGTGGAAGTGTTAAGAAGGGAGAATGACAATTTGTGCTATTTCTGAAAAATTTGGAATAAAGAAGGCATAAGTGTATGCATTTTTTTTTAGAGAAAGAATCTGTTGTGCTCAAATGGTTGCAAGGAAATTCTTCACCTCGAAATGAAGATCTGCTATATATGGTCATCCTCTCAGGGAAAAGTAAATAAAAACGCGATTCTTAGAACCTTGCTTTAACTCTTCATGAAAACAGCTCCAAGAAACTCCAGTAGCTGTACAATTTCATAATGAAACGAAATATTTCATTGGCATACTTTATAAAATGACAAGCTTGTATACTGTGATATTTGGGAGTCAGTGGTGGCCAATGACAGCCATCAATATTTGTACAGCAAGGTAACAAGATAGAAAATACCTGGCCAAGATTATATTTTCAAATTATCCGAAGAATTACCATCTGCCTATGTAAAAAAAAAAGCAAAATATTATTTGAGCAATCAGCACTCTTCAAAGAAACAATGTACACAAGATCTACCAGAAAGGAAGAGGTAAAGGCTAGAACAAGCTCCTGGAGGGTTTGATTAATTAAAATTTACTCACTTTCAAGAACTTACCAAATAAAAATTAAAACATTTTTTTGCATGTTAAATATTAACATGATCTGTTGTTAAAGACATCCATTGTTTGTACAACAATACAATTCTTTAACAATACAGAAGTTGCAGTTAAATTTTGAGTGGTTGTATTGCTTTTTCACTAAAATACTTGTACCCGTCAAAATGACTGGTTCGTCCCACTAGGTGGAAAGGAAATCGTCGTAGTTGATGAAACTTACGCACTATTAATTTGAATAAAACCAAGTTAGAATTTTATTTGGAAAAAGAAAATGTACTAAAGATAACATTAAGACATAATTAATACATAAGAATGTTCGTGGACAGAGCAATATATTCTTGGGCAGGACAGAAGACGATGTCAAGGTGCCGATGTCAACATTTTCGATTTCATAACTGTGATCATTCTTTAAGCTGAAAGTAATGAAGATGCGACTCAGGCATGAGATAGTTAGTACAGGAAACAGAATTCATTAGAAGTAAAATTTTCTTGTGTGATGGGTAATTCTAAACATTCCCTAAACCTTATGAGCTACAATGCTATTCCATGCTAGCAAGACCAAACATTACTTAATATGCTTGGTACATGTGATTCCCAAGTTTTAATCACAGTGAAAGAAGAAGAAGAATTTTATTAATGTATCACTACACAGTATTTCAGTAAAGCTCTTGAGCGTGCAATGTGTGTTTTGCCATTCCGGCACTGGCATCTAGACTACTTTTCATGCACCATTGGAGACGTATGAAGTGTCATTTGAGGTGTCTCTGTCTCCTCATGGGGAACGGATAATTTGTTTTTTTATCCCACTAGAAGATTTAAAGATATTTCCAAAAACATGCTTTTCGTGTTTTGGTGCTCCAATCTTAGTGATGATGCTAGGAATAAAACCAACACCACCTAAGTCGATCTATATAGGTGGCATTGATTAAATACAAGAAGGCATTTTTGCTTAATATGCCATAATTTTCTCTTACAACACTGATGTTTGTGAAAACCTACAAACAATTTTGCCTCAGAACTTATTGAACTTGAAGAATTTCAAGTAAATATGAAGAAAACAAAACAAACATTAATGTTTGACTTTGGCAACTTCCCTAAGTGAGCAAAACCAATTTTCAAAATGAATGTGATTCCACAATTTATAACACCTTTATTCACATAACAAGCAAACAGTTTGCCTTTGAATGTTATTCACTTACAAAATGATTAATAGAGCAATTGTACAAGTAGAATTGAACAGAAATTACACCAAGTTGGTGAAGTTTTAATGTCTTCAAAAATTAGGGAGGAAAAATATGGAAGTGTTAAGGAAACGAATCAAATGTAGTTGTAAAAGATCTTGCAATAGAATTTTCGGAGCAAATTGGGAAGAATCAATATTTTTGCATTTAGCATTTGTGCTAATGCAAATATGCTTTGTGCATTTTACCAAAAAAGCGTAAAAATATAGCTGTACTAAAATTTAACTCTTAGCATCAAATTCTGCAAGTATTTGCTACAGTGATTATAATATTGAAATTGCAATAAGACTAGTTATTATCCTATATGGAGGTGACACACAAGGCCATGGGGTGTTGGGAACTTTTGATCGGGAGTATAACATTATCAGCTACTATGATTCATTCCAATGCTAGATACTGAAAGAACATATTTAAACATAGCTGGGTATGAAAGAAATTTTCAACATATGAAACTATTTTTAAAATGGTTTACAACATCAGAAACACCACATTTTACTAGTAAATTAAATTTTTGAGTTGAAGTAAAAGTATTTTATGTTAAGATTTTTCATATGGGATCAAAATGAAATGTGTTACATCAAAACAATTAAAGTGCTTACAAAATTTTAAACACTGATCATTCAGGAACAAATTAAATTTCATTAGTCTCTCAGGTAGATGCATTACCGGTAAGTCAATCAGTTGTAGTTGGTGCCAGAAGTCCATAGTAAAAAGAAATCATGATTATGATTTATTAAACTGATCAAATCTTCCTCTCAGATATTATTTAGACTTTTAATACCAAATGGTGATTATTAAAAATAATTTAAATCATAATCGTTGTACTAAAATCAAAGCTGAGCCATCTGGCGTTTATGAATTACCATTTTAAAAAAACACATTAATTTCAAGTAAGGATCTTTACAATACTTTTGTTTTGTTTTCTATATCTCCAAAACTATCTAACTTCTGTCTTTCAGTCAATCATAAAGCAGAACATGGGAAAAGTCATTGAATAAAATGTGTAGAATTTTAAGAAATGGATATTTAATCATTTAAACAAAAAGTAATATTTCTGTATTTGACCTGAGTCATTTTCTACTTGTCTTAAAGTAAATTTGCTGTGGTCAATTTTTTTAAATTATGAGTTTCAAAATAATAAATTGTTTGCTTGCCTTATTTAGGTTGCCATCGCAACTCTTCTGTTGAATTTAGCAGTGACCTTGGAAAGAGTTAAAAATAAAGGATCAAGATCTCATTCTGTTCAAGTCACAGCTGCCCTTCTTCCGTTATTATCTGATGCGGAAGCTCAGTTTCGTACCCTTGTTACTTTGGGTACTCTCCTCTGGGAAGCAGAAGATTCAGAGACACAACTTCAGCTTATTGGTTTGGTGACCACTACTTCTGATGTTTTGGATGTATTGAATAAACTAGTTCACACCGAAATAAACAGCAATGTAGATCAAGCAGTTCAGAAAGTTTCACAATGTGCTGTTCAAATAGTAGGCTTAATTCAAAAATAGTGCTCCCTATGGAGGACGATAATCATTGTGCAAGTAAGAAAAGTATTTAAATTAAATTTTCCAATTTAAGGTTATTAAATTTTGGTAATTAATTTACCATGTATTGTTACAGGAAAGATATCACAGTATGGAATTTTTTTTTCACATACCATAAGTGGAAGATTTGTGAACTGCTGTGATTCAAAAGGAAGTTTGTGGATTTGGAGCTAATATACTTATTGCTTGAATGACTTACTATGAAATTATGGCAATGGCAGATTTTGTATTTATTTTATAGATGTAAGATACAACTCACTTTATTACAACTGTTTTCAAGTTCAAGCAATACATTTTTTTCCTGTAAACTACCTGCTTCTACAAATAAGCATCATTGAATTAAATAAACTTTTATTTGCCTTTTGTCTCGATATCCTGATTGAAATGGAAGCTACTACAGCTCATATACTCTTGAATCAGAAACTGTTACGTAAAATTAAAATACCACAATTTCTGTCCATATTAACACAAGTCAGCTATCATTTGTAATGCATTACCGGTTGCAGAGCATTAGACACGAAAATATAATTCATTTGAAGTTAGTACAGCAACACAGATTCAACAATCCGAAACCCTTTTTGTTTACTCTGGATCACCACCCAAAAATGAGAAGTTATTTTGTTGAATTTCGAACTGTCACGGCATTCCTGGTATTGTATCACAACCAGAAGTGCAGGAAATACAAATCTGCAAATTCCAAAATATTACACATAACTGCCCTTTTCAAAACAAAGTTTATGTCTGTGTAAAGTTCTTAAACAGAAGACCAGCACCATTTTATCTTGTCATGGCTACACAAGGAAAAAATTTGGCACTGGTTTTTTGAGAATTTTTCTTTTTAAAAATTGCATCAACTTCAAGCAGGTGTCTTTTTTCTTCTTTCCCCCTCCCCAAAATGTTTTATACCTTATGTCAATTTTCTGCAATCTTTTATAATACAGTGTAAAAGTATTATTTCAGTAGGATGAACATGGGACAAGACGATTTTTTATATCATCTTTTGGTACATTTATAAATTGCCTACATTTCATGCAAAAACTCATTTAAAAAAAAAAAAATCTACATGATCTTATTTAGAGATTTGTACACTTTGTACAACTGAGAATCTAACTTCAATTTTGTGGTTGTAGGAAGACACTGCAACACTTTTGAACTTCTCAAAAAAAAAAATCAGACTCCATTTTTGTAAGCTCTTTATGCTATCTAAGAACAAAGTTTAAATAAGTTTGGATCCATTTGTGAGAAAATGTTGAAGCTTTATGTTAAGTACCATCAAAAATCAAAATATTCATTAGAAACATACAAGGCATCGAGTTGGTTCAGTTCAATGGGGAAATATGAATTTTGGAGACAGTCCGACAAAGCTCAACTGCTGTTTTAACAAACTGCCATTGGTATTTGGCACTCTTAATTCGTATTTGGCTCCCCAAAGGTATTTGGTACTTTTAATTCTCTAGGGAAAGTAATATGTAGGTGGACACATCTTCGCACATAATAATGTGGGAGGTATTGATGTGACATCGATGTTTAAAATACATTGACTAAACCATTGATGTTTTTAGACTGAAGTTGCAACTTCTACATTGAATTCATATACATTAAAATTTAACACACATTGTTCGTGTTTATCAATTCGCAGAATAAGGACACCAGAAGGAGTAGACCCTATGCCCACAATGTATTTGTTGAACATCTTGATGTGCGAAATGAAAGTGAAGAAAGAATATACATGGGCATGAAGGTCATCTCAGGCGAGAGAGTTTTGTTGAGAAGGTAGTGCAAACAGCATTCCTTTGATTCCAACATTTTAATAACAGTGTTATTTATTATATTTTAACTTTTACAGTATTGTGTTCATGGAAATTTTTCATCCAGAAACAAAACATCTGTGTTAAAACATGAAAGTTGCATCCCTAGTGAGAGGGTGACAAAGTTGTGAAGATTATTAGTATACATGCAGATTATTTAGTATATGTAGTGTGGCATCTTAGAGTAAAATGATGTTTTATTAGCTTAAATGATGTTGATGCTCAATTGAAAGTAGATATTGTTTTTGCCATTTTCTTTTCAATTTCTGATCCACTCCTGCTAAATGTAGTATATGATAAAAAACATCCAATGGTTTAAACTCCGAATATTATTATTAAAGACGGATTAGAATGTAAGATTTTGTGTTGGCTTCACATTGATTAATTGATCAGCAAGTTACTTTTTTATGTGAAATTGCCTGTGTCGCTTGAGCAGTACATCGATGCGCAATAAGTAATGTGCGATGTAAATTAATCATCTTGTGCAGAACAGCCAAAGCACTATGTTCTATTTCATGTAACATACAATGTTGTTCTACGACTTACATCAACACAGGGATCCTAAATGCCCTGCTCAGGTTCGTGGTGCTACTTTACTTGTTGTGTCCCCCAATTGGTGTGAACGCCTACTTCCAGCAGTTGCCCCAGAGTTTTTTCAGAATAGAATTCATGGCAAGTTTGTCCAAGGTTTTAGAGTGCAGTATTGCTGAATTCATTCAACATAACAGATGCGAGCAGTCCCATCGGCTGGTGCCCCAGACGAGTTTGCACCTCTATCGAATGATGGTAATGTAATTTCAGAACTTCAAAATACGTATATATGAATGGGTGTAAACCAAAGTGGTAAAGTGACATATTAAAATTCTGAAAAATATGTTTAAGTCAATATTACTGTAAAGTTGTGGTGCTTTGTTTCATCATTGAAACCACGTCACTTCAACTGTTCATTAAAACCACAAAAAGGCATTTCTACAAAGATATAGCCCAAAACAAAAATGTTTTCTCAGAATTTATAAAATGTCACTTACACAGTTCTGGTTTTCACTGATCCATAAAATAAATGTAAACAATTCAAGTAAATTAATTAAAACTAAGTTAAATAAATGTCTATATTAAAACATTACAAAACATTTTATGTGTCGATTTCGTGGAGGATATACACACCTCCAATGCATGTGGGTCTGGCTTTGATTTCCACCAAGTTAGACCAAGCACTATTGCTTTGACACGTTTCACACAAATAAAATTGTTTTATTTTGAAAACTTCACTACCTTGGTATATATAGCAATAATGAAAGAGCTGCGACATACATTCGTATTCACAAGAACGCTCAAAAACTGCTGCAGGCACACTGACTTCCGCGTTACACTAAGGGACTTCCATTCAGATCGACCACCTTCACAAAAAGAACTCTTCAAATAAACATTTTGAATCAACAAACCTCCAAATAAAAACAAATTCTCCAAAAATCATAAATAATGCATTGAATATCATCAATAATTGTATACTTTCAATAACAAGCAAAAGTCATAAAATTCTCTTGCAGTGAGTAATACGAAGACAGAACATTATTATTCCCCTGAGACTTTCCGTCGCCACGCAGCACTAGACAGTGCCACTTGTCTGGTTGCGCCACCAAAAGGCCCATGCTCCTCTTGTTAAATTGAAGGGCCAAAGAGTAAATGCAGTAACCCCAGTACTACAGCCAAAAGCGTGGTGTAATTCGTGGTAAGGCACCACGCACTGGAGGGAGCACCACAAGGATGCTCTTTGGTTTCAAAAAGATTTCATATACATCAATATTGCAGCAATACCTAAAGCATGAATATTGAATGCCATTTAAAGGAAAACGTATATTTTCCTAAGAGATCTTTTCCGGTTATCTGGGGGGTTGTGTGACCTAAGCATGAGCCACTGGGTGAAGGGAAACCATGAATAGCTTCTCTAGTGTCTATTTTTGTAATTTTTTTCAAGGGCTTCAAAGATGCAAAAATGGTGTGTTCATTGATTATTTTTACATACTATATTTGTTTCAGAGTTTGTTTGACAAAATGTTGGCTTTCGAAATGATAGAAAGGCCAATTAGCTGTAAGGTAACTTTAAATAATTATAGAAATCATACAATATAAAACAACTTTTTTTTGCAAAATATTTTTTGCCATTTCACCACAGAAAGAAAGCTAACCTTTTTAATATGTTTACTAATGAGATACAATTCTGCAAAAGCTTTCCTAACACCAAAGTGCAGAAAAGCACGGACTTCGATGCTATGCTACACTTGGGGGAAAATACAACTTAGCACTTTAAATGATTTATATAACCCAGAGCATGTATAACTGAGTGGAAAATGCAATGTGCATGCCACAAGTGTAAGTGCAACTGCTTTCCCAAATAAAATTGACAGACAATATGGACCATAAATTCAAGCTTGCTCTTGTTGGTAAAAAGAGTATTTACAAGCTACAACTTCAACCACTTGCAGGAATCACACCAGTGTAAAAGCCAGCATTAGAATATAACATGTGTAGGAACTAGAATAGCAAAAACAACCAGGCCACAAGGTATTATCACAAACTTAATGTTCCAGTAACATTGTTTTGCCATGAAACTATTAGGCTGAACGTCAATTAAATAAAGAAAAAATTCTGAAATTGGAACTTTTTTAAAATGATTTTTTGACTTAATTATATTACAGATCAACAGATCTGTTAGTAAAACATAAAAGGGTTAGTTATACACTCTTCAGGAAGGCTTTCATTTTTACCTAATCTTTATTAACCTTTTTGAAATTGCACTTCCTGTAGCATCATGCTACTTGCTCATGGGAGGGGATATATCCTCCATTAGTGAAAACAGAATATTAAGAAGTTGTTTCCAACGTGAGTAGATTTAGGGGCTGAATGTAGTATACAGTACAACCTAGGGAAGTCATTTAAACCGGCACTTTGCGCCGTTCCGGCGTTAACTAGGCAGTTAGAATTCTGGGGACTTTCTAGAAAAGTGATGTCTTCTAAAAGTGAATTGGTAATTATGCATTGGTTAGATTCAAGGATGTTTATAGTGAACGCGAGGGCCGAAGGACCGAGCCTCGCCGTGACTTGGATCCGGGCGAGCGAAGCAAGGTAACTTGCCTTAGAAAGTAAATAGGCATTACAACGCGGCCGGGGCAAAGCATATAATGGGCAAACCATGAAAATCGCCTATCCGTAAGTTTTATTCATTTTTATTAGAGCACGAACAGTAATTAGGGCTTGAGCCCAGCCGCCCCGTTTCTCTAAGGGTGTACCATATACTAAATTTTAACCGATTTAGGAATTCCCCATGAGCCCGCATTTCAAATTAAAGGCCCAAGAAGCATGTTTGCTAGTACTATTGCCTAACCACCACTGTCTCCAAGCCTGCCATTTTTTCTAAGTTTGCCAAAAATACTCAATTCATGAAGAGCTGCTACACAACTTCACCTTCAATTTACTGTAGGCATTGTGTTAACTTCAATAAATAAATTGCCATGGCTTTAATCAAAATTCCAATCAGGTTCACACCAATTATAATGTCCCCCAGTTTAATGCCCAAGATGATACTGGCCATAATGTATAGAATAAATTAGTGCAAAATTCACTGTAGATATTTTTTAAAGAAATTGAATTAATTAATTTACAAGTATTATCAACTAGGGCATTCATTTGATCAATATAGTTTATTTCATAAGAGGATTTAATACTTACACCAAAAGCTTCTATTTCAACATATAATATATAAATTTGTCCACTATATAGTTTGTTTTGTAAGAATTTAATACTTACAACAAAAGCTGCTATTTCAACATAAACATATGTTAAAAAATCAATAACGGATCATAAAACTTTTCCTGCAATTTTTTCTTTTTATAGCCTTTCAGGATCCAGTATACTAAGACTAAATGATAAGAAAACAACACTGATTACATCACAAATTATACACATATCCCTCATTAGAGTTCAAATGCTTTTGTACTGAAGAAAAAAAAAACAACCAACTATAAATTCAATTTGCACTTTCACACGCATCAATCCAATCATTGTATACATCGACTGGTTCAGAAAGGAAATTAATTGATGTTTGATAATCTTCTAAACACACCCGACAAGTTATTCTTGCTGTATTTCTTGTTTTATCCCTGCCACAAACAATACAAGAATCTCATAAATGATGAATACACATTCAAAACCCATACAAGCATTAAATACTTACATTTTCACTTCACATGATTTTTCATGGTTGCAGAAAGGGCAGTTGAATTGAATATCAAGAGGTTCTATGGCCCTCCTTTTGGGAGGTGGTTTTCTTTTACTCTTTCTTCGTCCCATATTCCCTGCAATACAATACAGGAAATAGAAAGTATAATATTCCGAACAAATATCATAGATAATAGTTATGTATGAAATGTGCATACTATTTGACTACCAAGACTATCAATAGGAGTATGAAGTGAGATTTAAAAAATCTAGAATGAACAATTACATCTCCAATGCGTGACAATGAAATTGAGATAAAAAACGTTACTCAAGAACAATATATAACTTTCACCTAATGCCTAGCTATTTCAACATTAAAAGATACTTTTCACTGTATAGTTGAAATTACAAATCAAAGTTTATGCATTCAACGAAAACTAACGAATAAATATCGATTGGATTCAGAAAATACATGATTCGTTTGTGTTTCACCTATTCTCACGAACAAATCAAAATAAAATGCTGTACTTACAATCTGTTTAAGTGATCAAAACACACAATCCTAATAAGATTTCCCGCAAAACAAACGCCATTCAACGCTCAATCTTAATCTTCTTTGTTATTCAGAAAGTTGTGACGCGTGATCGGTAGAGAGCAGCATATTTTTCCAGAAGTTGTGCCAACACTCAAGATGTAAATACACTAGAATTTCAAAAGATAAATTTTGTTGGTTGAACATTAGGCGCTCATTAAAATGAAATGGGCATATTTTTTTTCATTTTAGAGATATGTGACTTCAATGCGCAGCAAACATTGCAATCCAATTCATAAAAAAGATCATTCATGGTGTGAGGAAAAGTGCAAGTGTTGGTCATTCTTCTGATAATTTCTGGTGTCAGCTTTAGTGCTATTTAAATACAACATTGTGTTTTGCTATGTGATTTCTTGCCGTGGATATCATAATGTGAAAAATAACTTCTAAAGCTAGGCGTTTATTTACTGGACCATCTAACAACTTCACTTGCAGTAAATGTGATCTGAGGTATGAATTATTCTTCGCTCATTTTCCTCTTGTTTTTGACAGATAGATTCACTGAAGTGAAATTATTATGAAATTATTTCATCTTGAAGCTGAAATAATCTATAACAACTTTTGGATTAAATAAATTGCCCATTCTTGTGTTGAAATATAATTAATTTGTTTGTAATAGAATTGTCTTGCCATACCTCACATTGGATAAAATAAACGGCATTCAATTGCCTGCTTAGGTTGATGAATATTTTTTCCTCGTGGTACAGTTTTCTTTTACATTGTTAATGGAAAAAGGCAGGGTGTATAAAGGGAACTGTCACTGCTAATTTGTTTTTGTTTTTTGTCTTGATCTAGTGTAATGGTTTAATGAATGAGTGATGAAATTTGTAATGATTGACAGATTGGCAGGAAACCTCTCTGATAAGTTGATTGAAACAATTTCAATTATAAACATTGAGAATTGGTTTACTGCAAGCATTAATGAGAAAACCCAACATGCTCACTCTTCTGATATATTTCTTATTCAGTGTTTCTCTATATCTCTTGTACTTAAAGAAGGTTTCTATCTAGTATTTGTGTTACACACATTGTTTTTGTCTGTGACCCTTTTATTTTAGGAATTTTATGAGCCATTATGATTTTATTGTACACTTAGTGCATATTTAATTATTTAAAATATTAAATACTTCCAGTTAATTCTAGATTAACAATTGTGTTAGTTATTTTATATTTAAATCTCTAATGACATGCTAATTTTATTAACGAAAATAAAATTCACTGTTTTGTAGAGTGAATGAATGAATGGTATCAGCTAAATATTTTTAATTGTTTAATTGATAACTGTATCTTTACATTAGAAGCCATGAATGTATAGAAGAAGCAACAGAATATTTACATAAACTTGCAGAAAATGTTGATCTGAAACTTCTTGAGAAGATATACTAAATTGTTAGTTGTGAACAATGCAGAAATTTCATGAGCAATGATAGTTTTTCTTTAAATTCTACGGTTGTTTTTTTTGGGCAAATCAAAAAACATGTCAATTTGTATTATTCTGTTTCATTGAGTGAAAGTATGTTTTTTGTTAAAATTGTAAGAATTTACAATAGTGAATTCCCATATTATGTAGGCATACTTTAATTGCTGGAGTATGAAGTTCCTACAATACTATATGAGTAGTTTGAATTTGTTAATTCAATTGTTTGTTATATCTGGTGACAGTGCATTGCTTCTCCACAAAATGCTCTGATAATTTAATTAATGTTTTTGTTATTGATTCTAAGTTTGATATATCTTTTTAATTTTGAGAAACGAAGTGGCCCAATGGAAATGATCTTGCATATGATAGTAATCAGTAGGGCTCATACTTTTAGGTAAATTCATATTTTCTTCCCTTAATCTTGATTGTTGAAAGTTTAGTGGAAATTCAAGTTGTGCCCTGTAGTTTCCATGAACCAAAATGAATATCACCTAAAAATAAAGTTTTGATTAAGTCACATGAAAATAAATATTTTTTTTGAAACTAATATATTATTACACATTTCACCCAATTTTATGAGAATGTTTCGACAATTTTCTATTTTAATACTTTAGATATTAGGTGAATGACATACCAGTTTGGAACTCGGTGGTTGGACACACACAATTTATTATTGTGGAACTTCCTCGATTGAGTAGAATGCGTCTGGTTCTTGACCTGTCAAAACCTCTGAGGACCTTTCTAATACTGCTGCCAATTCAGACAATGAGGCTCTTATTCATAATATACATCCATATCTTGAGCAGCTCCCAAACTGTCTCAGATTACACAGATGAAATGAGCAGAATGATGCCACATTCTACTTTGAAACTTCTCTTGAGCTTGGTTGCTGGTTTTGATATGGGTGTTAAATAAATATTTTCATTGTTTTAAAGCTTATTTTTCACTTTTTAAGCAAATAAAAAATAAAACCTCTCTGGGTTTTTAGCACCTAAAAGTCTGTGCTGTAGTGATCAGGGTGTGAATTGCAGAATTCTTACGGAACTATCTGATTTACCCTGTTGGAAAAGTATTGATTTGTGCACGCAGGCACAGAATTAATTTATTATAACAAGATGCCCCATTTATTAATTGAAATATTCAAATTAAAAAATTCAAATTATTGAAATTGGAATAGAAAATTCTCAGAATTTAATCACACTAAGACTAAGTGTAATAGATAGCCTTTGTTTCACAAATCATCTCTGTGCTTTGTAGAGGTTTGAATATCCTTACTGCAAAATATTGCTACTCACAATATTCCCTATGGGCTTAACAAAAAAAATAATTTTTACTAATGTACATTACGTATGTACATACATACGGATATACAGAGTAATACACATAGTATAGGGAAAGTTATGTAATGCTGCAGAAAATCGATTTCGAGATTTCCACAGAAATACACATTTTGGGAGTCCCTGTTACCGAAAAGTTATTTTCAAAACTTCCGTCTGTCCGTCCGTCCGTCTGTCTGCCCATCTGTTAACACTATTAGCGCCTAAACCATGCGTAGGATATTTCCAAATTGAAGAAATCTCTGTCCATCTGGCTTCAAATTTTTTCTTTCAATTTCTTGTAAGAATAGAGTTACATACACTTATAAAAGTGGCATAAGTACGATTTTTTACTCTGATTTTTCGAACATTTCAAAAGTATGATTTTTTTCTCTGTGTCTTCCTACAACTACAAAATTTAAGATGGAGAATTTTCCTTCGAATGAAATTTGTTGTCCATAATTAGTTCTCTTATTAAAGTGGTGTAATTTCTTTTGGAACTTTTCATAGTTATCACGCAATATTGCGTGCGGTATTTGCAATTTTAACAAATAACAAAAACACGATATTCTCAAAAACTGCTTCAATTTTTTTGTTTACATTATCGCCGATTTATTCACATTATTATATTGATGAGAACATAAGCCTTAAATAATGTCATGTGAAGTTTCTCGAACACTCAACCGTTTTGTGTGAAAACTAGCTCAACGTTCCGTATTTTCAGAAACGCTCAAACGGAATTTTCTCAGTAACAGCTCTACATTTTTCCTTCAAACTTTTCGAATGGATAATGCTAATTGCACTCTTCATTATGACGTAAACTGAATTGTGGTTTTCTTTTTTTTCTTCTTCAAAAATTACTTAAATGTAATCTTTTTAAAATGTGTAAAAAAAGTACTTTGGGCGGCGATAGATGGCAGCTGGCAAGAGGATGGGGCAAGCCCGAATAGTTAGCCGGAACAAAAGGAAATAGAAAACTAATACGGGAAAGCCTGTGTCATTCTGTAGCGCCACTAGTTTCTTTTCTTAAAAATGTCGGTTCATCCACCTGTCAAAATGAAGCACATATTAGAATATTTTTAAATCTCTCAAAAGATTTGACGGCATTGATCACATTTTTCTTTCAAAATTACCTATGTATGGAAGTCGTGGACTGTAGAATGATTTATGCTGTAACGAAGCGGGTTGCCATTGTCAGTTGCCTCCACATAGCAACGAGGTATAATTTTAAAAGGCCGAGGTGTATCGTTCTCAGTTGTTTTCTCCTAGCTACGGAGTATTATGAGGAAACCGTCAATAAAACTGGCAGAATGCTTGGCGAGGTCGGTCGTTTAGACACGTTGGAAGGCGCGGTTCCATGTGAATGTGGATTTATGCAAATGTACACATGTTATGATAGGAATATTAGAAGTAATAACTTCTAAGTGTTTAATAAGTGTTTAACTTGTGAATAGTGAAACAGATTTTTTTTGTTGAGAAAGACCGTTATTTCTTAAAAAAGAAACGATCGACGGAAAGTCGGTTATAACGTATGTGACTCTCTAACAATTGAGACGTTATAAAGTTTATACCTTAAATAATGATCCGAGAGTAGAAATACCGTTCTGGAATGATGGGACATTATATACTCATCTTTTCGATTTATTGCCAATTGCAAGTGGAGCTCCACAGGATTCAATTTTAGGCCATTTTCTTTTCGTGCTTTACGTAATTGATATATCCTCGATAATTCTAAACGGAGAAAGCTACTCTTTGCGAATGATATAAATATTCTTTGCAATTGATTATTCTTTATAACGAAACAGTAAGTAGTTCAATGTCAGATGTTTCAAATTGGTTTCGTAATAACAAATTAATAGCAAATAAAGAGAAAGCAGAGTATCATTTCAAATAAATAATTGTTTATTTCATTGAAAATGAACGATATTCATGTGATATTAAGGTAACAATCTTAGAACGTCCATTTAAATGAATTGAACACAAAATTAAGTTCGTTATGCTAAGCGTTCACACTTACATTTATTTAGATGTAGATTTATTTAGTCAAAAAACAGTAAAAACTGTATGATTGCGCACGTTTTCTTGAGTTTCAGAACCATTCACATTATTTTAACTACAAATAGTTTAAAGATGCATTTAGAAACATTTGAAAAAGAAATTTTCGTTCCCGTGTTATAGAAAGCTTATTTGCAACGGTAAACGAACTGCAGGTTTGATTTTTCTTCATTGCAAACAAAATAGTAATTCACCCTTACCTCTACTCCTGCCACTACAAGCAAAAGGAGAGTTAAAAAATAAAATAAAAATGAAGCTACATTTACGTCCAGAAGCAAAATAAGGCATCAGCATTTGCTCAATGTATCAGGGAAACTGGACAAAAACCTGATCGAGACGGGGGTCATTGACCCGGTAGTTGTCAAGTACATTATTTGTTACAAGTATATTAAATCTTGTAAAAAATTATACAATAAAATATAAATTAATGCATTATATATCACTGTTTTGTTAAATAAACATTATTTTTCTTTTTGATTGTCTGTATAGTCTCTAATTGTACAGAAACAGTAAGGCAGCAACAAATATTTTACTTTTAACTTAAATGTGTGTACCGACTTCAAATGTTTAATGTCATCTGGCAACGCGCTGTTAATTAACGTCCATGCATTGTATGTGGATTTTTGGTAGTGAGCTGTTGATACAGATACTTGATGAAT